GATGACACTTCCAAAAAACCAACACAGCACAACACAACACAATGTGTAATATTTAGCTTTTTAAAATTAATACTTCAGTAGCAAAATAAAAACACCATTCCTACATCCAGTTGCTAAAAGGACCCAGAAGAATTCACAGGTTACTATCTTGTATCTGATCTGACCTGGTTAAAGATCAAAGGTGCAACTCTATGAAACACACGAAGCCCAGTCATCGTATTGGCTCAGTTCTCAAAGATCAAGTTAAAACACTCCAATTGCATTGAAATGAACGAGTGTATCTCACAAAAGATTGAATTCAAACCTTGAGCTCTTTGGAAGTGTGCCCCTGGAGATGTCACCTTGTTGCTACAACTTGGCAAGAGTACAAGATTTGGGGGCTTAAGAATCCCATCCCTGCATACAAGAGACTCAGAGTCTGTTCCTGTCAAGGATTTGGGGCCAAGATCAAGGAACCAGATGGGGCCTGTAAGGGAGGAAACTGACCCTTTGGGGCAGCTGGCAGCCCTGGCAGGGTGCTGGGTATGTCAGCCCAGCCCAGGGCACCTGCCTACCCTCTAGATCCTCCCCTTGGGCTTTCGTCTGGGGCTGTCTTGCTGAACCTCAGAGTTGCTAGAAACTAGCTAAGCACCAGTGTCTCTCAGAGGGCTTGCAAATAGAACTAACCCATGGGTGAGCACAGTAAAATTCCACAGAAATTCAGAGGGTCCAGGATCACAGCTTAAATGTTCCATTCTACAGTTTAAAAACTCCATGGTAACAGATCACCTCTATTGCAGGACAGGGACAACATTCACCTGACAAAGTCATGCTAGCCGGGGTCCTTCCCCCCTGAGACCTCTCTAGGAATCTTTTCCCTGCAGCCTCCCCGTGGCCCAGGGCTGACCACATGGAGCACCCTTTGCACTGTCTCTGGAGGTGCAGGGTACTCGTCAGTATGCCCTGGGGTTTGAAAGCACTACACCTAAGCTCCGCCTGGGACTCTAGGCCTGGACACCGGGATGCTCTGCTGTGAGTTTCCTGCCTCCCCTCCCTGGGATGCTCCTTGCCAGCTCAGGCCACGCTATATGCAGCAGTCTGTCCTGTGACCAGACCGATCCCACAAGAAGCAGGTCTGAGGGAGGGAGCAAGAGCACCTGCTGGTCCCTGTCCCTGTTCCTGTCCTGGTCTCAGGTTTTCACAGAGGGTTAGAGACCCACTTCTCCATCAAATCTGTCTAGTTTTGTATTTTAAATTTCTTCCTTTTCCAACTGGGGGCTACCTGGCCCAACAAGTCTCGGAGTTCTGGTTTTCTCCACCTTCTTTGTCTCCATCTCAGATGTCTACTTCCTCAGAGCTCCAAGGGGCTCCTTTTCTGTTTGTACCATCTGCCACCTGCCTGTCCTCTTGTAGCTGCTGCTTTCACCACCTCCCCACCTCCCATCTTGTGGCCACCTTGGGGCAGCTCCCCATCCTGTACCTGCTCACGTACCACACCTGCTTTATTTCCCCTGCAGTCACACTTCTGCACCTGGCCTGAACTCTCCACCCCACCCGGGGCAGTGAGGCTGGAGAGGCTGCTGATCCTGTTACTGCTTCACGTGCTCAATCAGCAGGCTTCTGGGGCCAAGGCAAACCCCGACTTGGCTGTTTGGCTGACTGAGCCAGATGTTTCTGGTCAGTGGTTTCAGTTTTCTTTAGTCTCCTCTGGGCTGAGGGCTTCCTCCAGCAATACTGAGGAAGGGAGAGACTTCAGTGTTACTCTGGGCTGGGCATGTCCCTCCTGCCTCCAGGTGACTGCAGGGCTATGCTAGGCTTCCTGTTGAATCCTCTCCTTCTTATGCAAAACCCTCATACAAACTGAGGGTGGAGACAGAGGGCTTAACAATCTTTAGGTGACTCTGATTGGAGAAGTTCTGGAAAATAGTTCTGGGCAATAGACATCACAGCTGTTTTTAACCCTGGCTACATATACCTACGAGTTTAAAAACATACTTGTGTCCTGAGTGTCAGAATCAGGAGATTCTATTCTGTTCACGACTAGGAGTTTATGTAGGGATCCCAAAGTCTAGATCTTGACCCAGCAGTATTAGTGTGATCCAGGAGTTTTGGGGAGGCTGGCTCTTGTCTCTATCTGAATCTACTGAATCCACATCTTTGAGGCTGAGGCCCAGGGATCTGTATTTTAGTAAGCCCTGATGTTTTCTCTGTGCACCTGAGTTTTAACCTTTGCATTGCAATGTGCAGTGAAGGAGGAAAGGGTGATGGAGGCAGTGTCTTGTTTCTAAATCTATATTCGTGGCTCTTAAAGCGTGGCTCCATCCCACAGTGTCGGCAAACACCTGAGGACATTTTGGAACAGAAAATACTCAGGATTTAAGAGAGATCTATTGCATCAGGCTCAAGGAGTGCAGCCTGTCTGTCTTGTTTTAAGATCATAAGGTGATTCCAATCTGCGCTGGAGTTTGAGAACCACTGTTGTACCATCTTATTACCTGGCCTTGGTGCATAACTTGGGGAAAGAAACTGTAGAGGCTCTGTATTATGATTTGGGTCTCAAGTGTCCCCTAAAAGTTCGCACTTGTTTTCTCAATGGGGGGTTGTTCACAGGTGGGGACCTCTGGGAGCTGATTGGGTCCTCAGGGCTCTGATCTCATCAATGGATTAATCAGTTGATGAGATCAGAGCTTAGTGGTGAATCTGTTAAGGGTGGAGGATGGTGGAAAACTTTAGGAGGTGGGGCCTAGGTGGGGAAGTAGGTCACCGAGGCTGTGGTCATCTCTCCCCTCTACCCTAGGTTGTTCTGTTTCATCAAGGCCTGGAAACGGGGACTTTGTGACTAAGGATGGAACCTTCTGAAACCTTGAGCCAAAATAAACCTTTTCTCCCTTACTTTCTCTCAGGGACTTTGTTATGGTGATGGACGCTCAGCCAGGAAAGGGTGGTTGAATAAAGCTGTGTACAGGCTTGCCATTGTTCCCCGTAACATGAATAGCTTAGGGCGGATGACATAGACCACTGTTTTCTTAAACACCATCCGTGTACATGAGAGAAGGCTACAGGCAGTAAGTTCTGGAGCGCCTTCCAGTCGGCTGTCCTGCCTGAGGGTCTGGTGTTTCTTGTATGTCTGAGCGAAACAGACTTCAAATTCCACCTAGGATAAGTGAGCGATGAGAGCGTATTTCAGCTAATGACTCAGTCAGTTACTTCTCGAGGCCACTATGTGCCACTAATGTCTTAGTTCTGTGAAGGGAAAGACAATAGAAAGAACCGTGTGTCTGTCTGCCCACCCAATTAAAACTGTTTTGGGACACAGATTTGAGTTAATCGTGCGTCTTGGTCTTTGGCATATTATCCTCATTGGTCCTTCCTGGGCCTCGCTCTTGACTGTATAAAGGTGAGTATGTTCCTTTATTGTTATACCTCACCCTGGTTTTCCTCCCACATTGCAATGTATGCTTTTGTTTTGCATGCGTGTTTGCAGGGTGCGTTTTGTTTGTGTACACACAGCGCTTGCTGGTTTCTGGGATGTAAGTGCTCCCACCGTAGGGCTGGGAGGAATGTGCCCTCCTGCACCCTGCCTCTCCTCTCAGGAGCTGTTGAAACTGCCTTCAGCTCTGCCCTGTGGATGCTTCACTGAAGTGCTGGACTACGTGCCTACTTGACATCCCATAGCCAGCGTATGTTTCCATAAGCTGAATTCTTTTACCCCATTTCAACCTTATTTGACCAACTCAGTATGTTTTATAGGTGAGGATATTGAAACACTTAGAACAGCTGAAGGATTTTATTAGTGGTCAGTAATCAGAATGGCATGCACGTGGAGGGTTTCCTGCTCTTAATAAAACCAGATTATAAGACTTTGGTGAAAAGTGCATTCAAACTCCTACTTTAATAGTTTCATGTCAGCACTTGGAGGCTCTGGGGCAGCCAAGCATGCTATGAGCATAAACAGCCCCTGATGAAATTCCTGGATGCTTGATCCTCAGAGAGCTGTTATCCTAGAGCCATTAAAATGCAACCTGGAAAAAAAAATGCAACCTGGGACCTTCTTGGCCTCAAGGTGCGATCACAAACCCAGAGGTAGCTCGGGAGTGTGAGGCTTTCCGCTTTCCTGTGTGGAGGGTTCATTTGCAGAGAATGTGCCTGTCTTCCTGGAGGAGTCAGGATGAGCTGGAGAGGATCAGGGAGCGTAGAGCTCCGGGTTCCTGGGCTGGGAAAGATGGTTAAGACCTCGGCAGAGAAAAAGCCAAGGCAGTAAAGAATGGATTGTAAAGACTGGATTTTGGTCAGATTGTAATCTTTTCCTTAAAGCTGTGTTTGCTGAGGATCTGTCCCACTTCTTTCCTTCCTCCTTCAATTTCTTTTTTCTGCCATTGCCCTACTAAACTGGAAATGGGGATTTGGGAGGGTCTCACTGTGGTAAAAGAGTTTTAGCTTCCTCTGGGCAAGGGATGGGAAGGCTGGGCCACTTGGCTTCCTGCAAAGGCATCTGGTGGCATAGGCTTAATAGGAGCTGTCTCCAGAGAGATTAAGGAAGAAGAGTCACTGGCCAGGCAAGGTGAGTTTAGTGGCCTTTAGCCTTTCCATGTCACTAAAAAGTGACGTGGGTTGTCAACAATAGAAAGCAACCTCTACAGTAATTTTTGTGTAACTTGCTTTGTAAGCAGAGGATATATATAACCCAGAGGGTTCTTTTTTTTCCAGTCCTGGGGATTGAATTAAGGGTTTCACCCTGAGCTACATTACCAGCTCTTTATATTTTCTATTTTGAGGCAAGGTCTTAGTAAATAGATAAGTGGCTTGGGCTGGGTTTGAATGTGCGATCCTCCTGCCTCAGCCTGCCAGAGTGCTGGGGTTATAAGTGTGTGCTGTCATGCCTGCCTGCTCCTCTGATAATTTTTTACCCATGCTAATCTCTTTCCAGATACATGCTGGACTGTGGAAAACCTTTCAGGTGGGCAATATATGAATGTGTAGGTGGGAACCATTTTAAGAAAACCCTGATACCAAATGTCAAATCTAAAGAGTTTAATGAGAGTATAATTATGAATGTTATAAAAAGAAAGACATTTGTTTATAATATGATTATAATGCTGAAAAGATCAGTTTTCCCATTATGACATTTGTGAAAACATTTCAGTTATGCAAAGGAGGGCATAGAGTCATTTTTGGTAGATTTTGATCCCTAACCCCAGTCTGGAGATCATCTCTCATGACCCCAAAATAAGAATCCAGAGATAATCAACTCTTTCCTGCCCTTTCTGGAGGTGACACTTCCTTCTGTCACTCAACCCTGGGTAATTTCTTTCTGGTTATGCTGTTAAGCAGGTTACAAGAGACAGAGAAGAACCAACACTTCTGAGGTAGAAGGGACCTAAATCCCACCCTGTCATAAAGAAATTCCTGTCAATAAGAAGTCGAGACTGAGATGGGGGAAGTCTGGCTAAGACTTTTGGGACCTATTAGTGGCAGAGGTGGGTGGGGCCAGTCCTCTTGCCTTCCAGGCTCATGAACATTTCCCAGCACTGTGCTTTGCTATATTAATGAGTGAGATTGCACAAGTATTACCCATTTCTGTCCTTTTCTCCATGACATTTCCTTAGGAATGAAGATTCTTTTGCAGAACAGGAAGAGTTTCTATCATAGGGGGGCTCTCATGGAGCCAGCTATGGGAGTCCAGTCTGAACTAAATTATCTTAGAGAGCTTCCCAAATGCTGATCACACATACATTTCCCTGTGCTTGGGGGCAGAATCACAGAAGATACAGAGGGGAGGTTAGCTGGCCTTTAGCCTGGGGATGCAGACAGCCCGCTGAAGTCTGCATTTACAGTGACATGCTTTGGAAAGGACAACTTAGGAGACATCATAAGCCTGGTATTTTGTGACGGTTGATGCCCTTCTGTTCTTCTCCTGTGACAGGTAGTAGACACGATTGGCCTCTGGGTAGGTGACTTTGCTGAGCGGGAGCTTGTAGATGGCAGGGTTGTTGGTTGTCAGGAGCAGGAAGGTGAGTGCTGAGAGGCAGAAGGGCCAGGTACAGGTTGGTAATCCAAACTGAAGGGAGGGAGGGACACAAGAGAATCCTCAGTTACTTCAGATGCTAGTGCCTGTTTAGCCCTTACCGATCACCTAAAGTCATGCACTGTGGGCATTGATAAAGATAAGGCCTAACTGAAATCAGTATAGAATCATGCTAGTTGTGGTTAGTCTGTGCTGTAACAGATGAGCACATAACTGTTCAGAATGCAGCCACTGAAGAGCCAGTAAGATTCCTACACCTTTATGTGTGTCTTGGGGAATCCGGGCTGGCCACACTTCTGATTCCAGAAGTATGGCCATTCCATATCTTTTCCCAAAAGCGCCCACTGGAGGAGTGTTTTTGGAAGCCGTTTCATAGCTCCAGACTTTTTTCTTGGTCACAGTTCATTCTGCTAATTTGGACTAAAGGCACAAAGACTGTATCCATAGAGTTCCTGGACTGTAAGGTCTGAAGAACCATCAATGAGAGTGGCCGTGTTCACAGAGAGACACCGGGAAACGAGCCGATGTGTGCAGAGAGGCAGAGGACTGGCATCTTTGCCCCAGGCAGCTGGAAGTAAAGAGCAGCTGCTTCTCTTCTCAAGCATCTCTTTCTTATGATGTTAACTTGTTTTTTAATCTTTGAGATGCGTGGAGACATTTTAGTATTCTTCCTCTTCATTTGAGAGGGGTTTTGTGGAGGCCTTACACTCAAAAGAGCCCCAAATTTAACTATGAGGCAGATCAAATGCCCCCTCTACCTAACACACTATTTTATTGTGAAGTGTAAAACCTTAGATAATACCAGGGAGTAATGATGCTGGTCAGATGAACGGCCAGAGATGGCTCTGTAAGATGGCACTTGGGGGAAGACTGAGGACAGTGCTCTAAGGAATTCCCATGAGTGATGTGAGCCACTCAATGGATCTTTCCAGTGTCCTGCTAAGACTGCGTGAAGTGTTTCAGAAAGCATTCCCCGAAGTCCCACAGAAGAAATATGGGAGTTCCACAGAAGTATGTTCAAATCTCGGCACTCATCACCTTATTAAAATCATTTACTCTTTAGAGACCTCGTTTCTTACTAGCAAACCAGGAATAACAATATTCACTCAAAAACTTGATGCTTAGTGAATACAAAATACTCAGTGAATGTTCTCAGGATGTGGTCATTATTATCAAGCCAATGGCAGCATTTGAGAAGCCTGCAGGCTGCACATACATGTGCCAGTGAGAAAGCAAGAGTGCCCCGAGTTGTGCTGCTAAGGAGGGCTTGGATGGTCTCAGAAATGTAGTTCAACACTTTTCTGTTCTGTTGCTTGGTGAGATGGAAAGTCCATTTAGGTAAATTAGTAGCCTGCACTGTTTTGTATTCATGACAGTGGTCAGCATAGTGCCTTAAACATAAAAGTCACACGAAAGTAATTTGATTTTGTTTTGAAAAATGCTGGAATATAATAATCTTCTGCCTTCTCTAAACTTAGGCTCAGAGACAGCTATGATCAAGAGTAAATTTCCTGTTTCTAACTATTCTACTTCTTTAAGGAAATCACATGACATATATTTCTTGATTGATTGATTGGGGGAATGAATGGGGTCAGAAGAGTTGACAAGGCCTAAAGTGACAACAAGATCCCTAGGCCATGTTGCCTTCTCTTGTCCTTCTCTGTGTTTCTGTTGGTTGGCTGTTCAGTCCCTGCTCTAATATTCCCTGTTGTGGAGGCTCACTGTTAGGGTTTCAATCATTCATTACTTTTTGAGCACTTACTATATTCTACATCAGTTCTAGAGGTGGAGATGAGAACATGATAGGCTGCTGTTCTGGAGGAGCATGTGGACTGAAGTTGGAAGAGGACTGATGAGTACTAGACCGGTCACAATATAGAGCATCAAGGGTCATAGGCGAGTGTGTACAAAATGTGATGGAGCCCAGAGGAGGGACTTAGTCCATTGAAGGAGACAGGATAGTATCAGGAAAAATAATTTTTCTGCTTAGGAAATATCTTCCTAAATCCAAACTACCCCATTCCCACTAGAGGAGGAGCATGGATTTGTGAGTACAATCACGGGATCAATAGGGCTTTCCCTGGCTGTTCATATAAGGTTTGCTTGTCTAAGAGTTTGAATTTACAAGATAATGTTCTTCAAATTGTTCTTCTAGAAAAATCTCCACTGGCCATTGGCAGTGGATCTGATTGACTCCCAGATACCATTTAAACTTTGGAGATGAGCTCCTTCTGTCAGCAGAGCTGAGGTGTGCAATGTGATTTGCAACAAGGAGTGTGAGTTGGGAAAGACTCCAGGAGGAGGAGTTTTACACAGGGCTGGGGAAGCCAAAGGGGCTTGTGAACACATTTGTACCCCTGTTGACTCACCACGGACAGCATGTTGGCCAGAGCAGAGCCCAGGTAGGCTGCAAACAGGGCTGGAAAGAGAACCAACAATAAATAGTCCAGTAACTACTTAACAGTCTCTCAAGCTTTGTTTATGTATTCTCTCTTCATTAATTTTATGCTACAATACTATCAAATTTTTAAAAAAAAAAGAGTTACGTTTCTATTGCTTGGCACCGTCAGCAGTATTAAATTCCATCCGAATTCAGGTACAGCTAAAACAGCAGATGAACTTTGTTAAAAAGGGCCAGAATTTAGCTGTTACAGGTCTCTTGGGTCTCACCACCTTGCATTCCAGTAAAGGAACATTTAACAGCATAAACCATAAATGAAAATTTTACTATACAGCAAAGGCAAGTGAGTCCCAGAACTCCCTGCTGGAATATTTCATCACAAAGTATTAACATAATATGGGTTTCCAGGGAGCAGCAGCACTCTGTAAGCTCCAGGGAAACCAAATATGCCCACTGCCTTGTCTTCTAGGCTCTGTGGAGTGGGCAGGGCTGAGCTGATCCCTGGGAATTGCCAAACGCTGGCAAGAGGGGAAAAGCAATGAAATGGGTCAATGTAATTGGGTCTCTTTTCTGAACCCTTAATTTCTCAGCAGCAAGCAACCCAATTGTCCCTAGGCTATTAACAACAGCTCACCTTTATTAGAGAGCTGCTGTGTGCCCAGCTAGCAGCTGTGCCAACCATATCCTTCGGCATTCCTATAGTGTAAGCACCATACTGCTTTTATTTCATAGATGAGAAAATAGGCTCAGAGGGGCTAAATGCAGCGACTGTTCTGCCTGTCTCTGAGTTAGACAAGCCCCTCTTACCCTAGAGGTAGGAAGGGGAGAAGAGGTTAAAGGATGAATGATATCAGTGGGACATGGGGCAGCCAACAGTTTCATGGGTCCCACCAGCCAGCTGATCTCTCTCCAAGGGACCACGAGCCTGTGCCATCCTTTGTGTCAGCTGCATCCTCATTTATTAGTATGCATTGTGTGATTGTGGGTCACAAGGTCAACTTCCCCTGGGGATGCCTCGGGTGTCAGGCATTGTTTCCATGCTTTCATGAATTACTGGATTTGATCCTAACAGTAGTACTATGCAGTGGACACTTGGTATCAGGCACTGAGAGTTCAAGTGACTTGCCAAGGTTTACATGGGTGACAAGTGGCAGAGCTCCAGCAGTCTGGTTCCAGGAGCGGGCTCTTAACCACAGTGTACTTTAACCTCTTTTTTAACTTCCCAGAGTTGAGGTTTGAAAGGGGGTGGATAAACACCACTAGTCCCCAGAATACAGGGGAACCAGGGGACGGCTTGAGGGCGTCTCAGGGGCTGGCCTGTGAAGAATGGAGGCTCCTGGAGTGGTCTGGGCTGAGCCCAATTCCATCCAATTCATCCTTTATCCTAGGGTCCAGAGGCAAAAGATTTATTCTCATGCCCCCTGACCCCACTATTATTTTATCAGATTTGATCTGTAACCAACAGGAAATCTTTGAAAATCTCTGTGTTCTAATGTGATTGCAAGGCCTGCAGAATGAGGAGAGAGGCAAGATGACAGAAGAGCCACGAACAGGAGGAACAGCCTGTCCGGACTTCAGGGAAAGCCATCTGTTCTGGAGGACACACAAGGCAGGAAGAAATCTTCTTTCTCACTGGCCTGTCTGTTGCTAGCTGTGTGACTGTGGAATGGGCTGACAGTTCTGGACTCCAGGGAAAGCACTGGCTTCAGGAAGGAGCATGAGGTCTTACTAAGAGCAAAGGCTTCTACAGCCTGATGTGCTTACAGGTCGGCCTTTGGGCAGTTTGATTTTCGCTCCCTTCAACCTCAGTTTCCCATCTGTGAAATAGGAAACTGTGTAGGTTGCAACGGGTATTAAATGAGAGGCCATGTACCAAGCTCACAGCATGACACCATTGACAACCTTTGATGTGCGGTTATGCTGTGCATTGTAGGGCATTTCATGGGACCTCCAACCTCTCCTCACCAGACTCCCACAAAACTTCTTCCCTAGGTGTGGGAAATAAAAATTTGAAATACACTGCTGAAAGTCCCTGAGAAAGGAAGAAATTATCCTGGTTTAGAACCCCCTGAGTAAGTTCTGCCATGGGTGGCTGGGTTATTTAACTTCTCTGATAAAGATGAACTAGGGGAGGTGAGGGAGGCAGCTGAGATACACAGTTTAAGGGACTCTCATCTCAACAGCAGGGACACGTCAGAGTCATCGCCTGACTCTGACAGCCCTGACGGTGAAATCCCCCTTAAATTTTGCATCTGAGTTGGGTAACTTGTCTCACCCTAGTCCTGGCCCTCTTTTGTGACATATATTTTTCTCTTTCTCAAAGTGCAATAAAAATATCGCTATGGTTTTGGATTTGAAGTATCTTCCGAAACTCATGTGTTAAAGGCTTGGTTGCCAGTTAATGGCTTTAAGGAAGCAAAAGAATAACAAGGGGTCCTAACAAGGAGTCAGGTGAATTAATCCTTTGATGAGGTCATATTCTGATGGCCTTGTGATGGTGATGAGAGCAGGAGGTGGGCCGAGTTGAAGGGTGTGGGACGTGGGTATAACCTTGGGGAACACACCTGATGCCTGATACCCTGAGAGCAATCCTCTCGGGCTGCTTCCTGCTTTCTGTGTCCTGTCTGCTACGAGGTGAGCACCTTTCCCCTGCCATGCCCTTCCGCCATGGTTCTGCCTTGCCACAGGCCTTATTCGATGGAGCCAGGTGACCATGGACTAAAACCTCTGAAACTCTGAACCCAGACAACTCTTTCCTTCACTTCTAGTTTAAAGTTTATTTTTTCCATGTTTGTAGTGACTGTCATAAAATTGAAAAATATCTACAGATTACCTTAAGAATATAATATATGGCCGTATCAGATCCAGAACGTATTCCCTAGCAAAGAATTAATTGGGAAATTTTTTTTTTTGTCTTTTTCCTTTTTATCGGTACCAGGGACCAAACTCGTGACTGCCTGCTTGCAAGACAGGCGCTTATGCTGCTGAGCTAAATCCCCAGCTCCGAGAAAATTTTTTACTGTAAATAATTTTTTAAAAAGTTATGTAGATAATGTTTTAGAGTCTGTGGTGCTGAAGTGGAATTTCTGTTTTAAATATCTTGGTTAAAAGGAGTTTTACTTGGTTTTCATTTATATTGACATTTAGAAATGAAGGATATTCAAAGGGTTAAATTATATAATTGTGCCAAATTTTAAAAAATCAATCTAATATCCTAGGATTCTGAACAAAAGTGTACCCAAGAGGAATCACCGGAAGGGCCTTATGGTCAGGGTTTGGATGTCTGAGCTTTATCAGTGTGTAGGGTACATGTTGTCTAATTCCGTATTCAGCGTGGATTGCCTCAGAGTTGCTCTGTACACTCCAATCACCCCCAGGAAAGCAGCCATCACAGAGACAGCCATGAGAAACCGCTGCCACCTAAAGAAATCTCCATGGGGTGGGACATTGCGTACACAGTGAAGACAGTTCACAAAATAACCCCTGAGGAGAGTTCTAACTACAAGCCCTTCCATACAATGAATAATTTCTCCCATTTATCTTTTTGGGGGCACGATTGTCCTAGGAGTTTTCTTTGTGGGGACAGTTGCAGGCCTCTTTGGGGCTTCACAGGGCACTGTGGAACAGCACCTACCGCAGGCGATGGCCAGGAGGTGCGTCTGCCAGGTGATGACGTAGAACATGCCTCCGATGGCGATGCACGCCAGGGTGCTGTTGAAGCCACACAGGCCGAAGTAGATGGAGTCAAAGGGCGTGGCGATGCTGAGAGCTGGGGGACAGGCAGGTGTCAGTGGTGAGTACAAGGTCTTACAGGGCTCATATGGTTGCTGAAACACCTACCATAGGCCTCAAAGCCCAGAATAAGCTTTCTCCAAGCTACTTATAAAAAAGAGGGCTCCTGATTTTATATAGTGGAAATACATCTAACGGGAACAGATTGTCACAGAGTCATCTGAATACTAATGGCTAAGCAGTTATGGAGTTGAAAAGAAATAGTCCAGAAGATGTCCCTCCCTCCCTTACACACACACACACACACACACACACACACACACACACACACACAGAGTTCTTCGGAGAACCAATCCTTGTCACTGGAAAGGATACTTAAAATATAAATACATCTGGAACTAAGCTTAAGCAAACCTTGGATTTATATAAATGTGCAAATGCCAAAGTCTTTCTTGAGGACAGCTGTAGTTCAGAGCAGCATGACTATATCAGCACCAAAAGTGGAGAATCGGGTGCCATGGGAGGAGGGAGAGTTTCAGGGACTTTGCAGGTGCAGCATTGAAGACATACTTCCTTGTTTTCTTTGGAGTTGGCCAGGCACTACATCCCTTCAGCCCATTAATAAGGAAAAGCGATGACACAGACCTGCTAACATCCCTACGGTGGATCCAATTGCTGCGTGCAAGCAAATCAGAGGTGAAGATATGAACAGAGCTACGAGGAAAATGCCTCCGGTCCAGGGATTATCGCAGCTGTACACTTGACCGACTCCGACAGGGATGGCCCTCAAAAGCTGCAGGTACGACAGGGTCACATGCTTGTTAGGAAGGCAAAAGAGACCGTTTGAACTTTAGCCCCCAAAATTCGGTGCCAAACCCTCCACACAATACTTTGCCACAGATTTTGAAGACATTTCTGTTAAAGTTTGCTAACTGGAAAAGAAATAGGTGCTTCTCATTTTATTAGAGCTCTTAGTGAGGTGAAGATACCGAGTTTTCCTTATCTGTAGATATGAGTGAGAGGCACTTACCCCCCAGAGGAGAAACTGAAAACTTGTCCCATTAGGGCTGCTTTTCATGAGAGCAGTAAAACATTTTCAGCCAAAACTCTCATATGATACAAAGAAAAAGAGACAGAGAGTGGTTAAATATGAGAGGGACAAATGGGTCTCATGTATTTCCAAGTACAGCAAGTCTGGGTATGGCGACGCCCATCTTGTCTGGCAAGCAGCTGGACCTGGATCCCAGGAAGGGGCTGGAGGAGGCAGTGTGGCCAGCACCTGCTCTTTTGCTGATAAACCTGGAGGTCTCCTGCCTGCCTCAGTCCTCTGTGGATCTCAGGCTTCTGTGGAGACTGGGAGCACAGAGCATTTGAGGTACTCTGATATTTTGTGGTCACTGGCACATGGAAATGGGGAAAAGCCCCATGTTGTGGGCTAATAGCCACTGGGACTGGGTCCTGAATCTCAGAGGGTTTGTTGAAGGGCCCTTGAGCCTTTGGGAGTATGTGCTCCAGGGATATGGCTGTGGGCCCTGTTGACATGCACTGGCTTCATCTCTCCTTGGGCCAGTACCGGGGTGAGTTGTGTAAACCATGGCTACAGTCTGAGGTCTCTGGAAGGAGTCTGTTCCTGGGGGGAGCTGTCAGGAATGGAGAACCTGCAGCTCAGGGCTGAATCTCCCAGGGAGAATGTACACAGGCCCATGGGGTAACCCTTTGGCTCAGGCTTCCGTTACCCAGGACAGAGAACAGCATAGTGGTTTGGCCTGCTCATGCAGGTGGAGCGGACAGATATGAGCTTCACACAGGGAGTGGTGCTGGTGACTTCATCTCTCCCTGGTTGCATCTGGGGCATCTCCATGGGTGACAAGAACGAAGGTGCCTGTGGGTGGGGACTCAGTGTTTTGGGGAGTTGGAGAATTTCTCTCTTTTATTCACCACATACTTTTTAGGGGCTCACAGCTCTGACTCCAATTGTCACAAATACACAAATGTACAAATCATCATCCAATCTGTTCAACTGGCCAGACAGTTATTTCTTAAAGAAGAACTACCAAAAACTGGAACTCCTCTACTACTAAACTTTGGAATGCTAAAGTGTTTATTTAGTTTTTCATTTCTACCTATAGAATTCTAAAACAGTTTTTGCAATTGCAAAGGTGGCATGAAGAATGTAATATCTTAAACTTGCAATTTCTAACACTTGCTCATGGCACATCAATGACAGAATTTTGCCTCCAAAATGTGTCGACCGGGTTAACACCAGGAATGGGAAGTCTGAGTTGCTGAATCACCAGCATGTACCTCTTCTCACCTCTGGCCCATGAGTGTCCTTGTGTATACAAAAGGATCACAAAGGATGGGGCCAACACAAGCACTTTCTTTCCTAATGGTGGTGCTTCTTCCTGCAAATGCAAAGCTCTTTCAATCACACAGTGGGATGCTAAGAGACACTAGGCTCCGAATTTCTGGAAGTTCCTTCTCCAATCCTGGGCAGGTCTGTGGTGATAAAGTGAGGGAGAGAGAGGCTCAGAGCACTTGTGCCTGGTTTGATAGCCAGGCTGACGGGTAGAGCGTCCATAGTGATCTAATGCTTTCAGGGTCTTCTTATTCATTATCTTGGCAGACTTCCAGAGGTCAGCATTATATTCGGGATACTTGTTAATAAAAGACACATCTTGTTAGGTTGGGCACGGTGGCCCCTGCCTGCAGTCGGAGCACTCTGGCAAGCTGAGGCAAAGAGCTCAAGTTGCAGCCCAGCCTGGACAACTTGGTGATTTAGCCAGACCCTGTCTCAAAAGTGAATATAAAATAGAGCTGGGGTACGTCTCACTGTGAGGGCTCTGGGTTAGCTCCCCAGTGCTTTAAGAATAAAACAGACAAATGAACACCATGAGAAGCTCTGTCCTACATATGTATCTCATAGTGGAGGAGCGCAGGGGCTTTAAAACATGAGTGAGCCTTAGAGAGTGACTGGAATACACCATGGAGGCTGTGACAGTGACTTCTGAAGCCAAAAATGGTAACATAAATGAAAAAGAACATACAGATCACTAAAACTGGAACACAGTATTCAAGAAAAAAGCGAAGAACCCAGACCAGGAGTCTGGGAGCTGGATTTTGCTCCTCACTAGATCACCTCTGGCCCACGAATGTCCTTGCGTATACTTCAGGTGGGTCTCAGCCTGGCCTGATCCTCCTTCTCCGTGTCGTAACAGAGCAGGACCAGAAATAGCCCTTTTGCTTCTCTCAAGGAGGCAAGGATGGGAGCTCATGACATATTGTGGAGACACCTTGGACTATGTCACTGTTAAAATCACCACCTTCTGGTGCGCAGAAGTAAATGCCAATTAACAGTGACTTTGTGCAGACACCGCCCTTCCTTCCTCTTCCCGTGACACCTACCAAGGGCACTTGGATCTCTGACCAGGTGATATTGGGCACAGAGGATGTAGGCTGCAGCAGCGTCGTGGGGAAGAAGAGGTTGTAGTGACCCGTGGCTGCCAGGAACAGCGTCACGGCGATGTTGAAGGGCAGAGTGAAGACTGGCAGGTCCCACTTGCTGAAGATGGTGCTCAGGGCGCTGGAGAGGATGGGGCTGAGGGCAGAATCAGCAGAGAGGTTGGCAGGCAGGCACAGGATGGCGCAGCACTGGGGGCCCTGCACCTTCTCTGCCACCTCCACCCCCTCCACTTGACTGGTGGCCTCCTATCTGCACAGGGCACAGAGACAGGGTGGGTACTCATGCTTAGCTTCAGCAGGAAGACTGTCCGGGAGACATTTTAAGACCAGGAGCTTTGGAACCCCCACAAGTCTCACTGAACTTCATCCTCAGGCAGGAGGAGAGAGGACAGGACCAGGGACAGAGGGGAGGGAGTCATTCAGTTACTAAACTAATGCATTTTGAGTGCCCAGGCCCACTACACCCTTGGTCATAGTGCCCTGTGTTTTTTGAAGTGAGGGAGGATGTTGGTACCCCGAGGTACCCGGTTCTGGCCCTCAGCCCACCCTGGGAAGTTGTGATTTACATCTAAAATGTCCCCATAAAACTCACATATTTGGAAGGTGCTTGTATCAAGGGGGCCCTCTACTCACCCGTGGATTAATTCATAGATGATTTGATATTAGGAGATGGGGCCCAGTTAGAAGTAGCTCACAGGGTGCAGCCTGGAAAGGTGCTCTTCCCCCTGGTTCCTCTCTGTCCCTCTGGGCTCTGCTTGCTATTGGGTAGGAAGCTTTCCTCCACCATGCCCTGCCACCATACTGCTTCTGCCTCGGATTAAGCTGCCCGTGGACTGAATTCCCTAAGACTATGAGACAAATTAAACTTCTCCTTTAAGATGTGGATGTTGGGTACTTTGAGAAGTGGGACTTCTGACTAGTACAGACACTGTCTCCATCTGGGCAGGGGGTCCCAGGCCTGGAGTAAAGGGAGGAGATTTCCAGAAACTGACAGGATCCTGTCCCACGGATCTTAACCTACCCAGGCCTCAGTTTGTTTCTTTGTGTTCTGCCAGGGTAAGGCCAAAAACCCTTTTAGATCTTCAAAGAAAAAGAAAAAAAGGACAGTAGCTAATGCGATTCAGTGCATAGGTGTCCTAGCATAGTATAGTGTTAGTAATTATCTCCAGTGGATATTTCTAACATGTGAGCCAAACAAATGCTACTTTAAAACAGTACATAGACTGGCAGGCCCAGGCCTAGGACATGAAGGACAGTGGCTTTGACCTGAACTCACCTCCGAAGCAAACTTACCAAGACATGGACATGAGGATGACTGGGAGCAGAAGCCACCAGTAGTAGTTGCCCTTGTCTGAGAACACAGCCATCAGCAGCCCCACGAGGACCCCATTGTAGCCATGGAGTCCCGCTGCAATGGCTGACCTGGGGGACAAGGAAGCGGGTGATGAGGTGGGGCTTCTCCACGCCCTTTTAAATTTTCCTTCAGAGTCAGATTTTTCTCCCCTGGAGTCTGACTGTACACCTTCAAACAGCCAAGGTTCTGGGAGAGGGAAGGAAAGACTCAGACCTCCTGCCCGTCGCATTTCTCTAGACAGTGTGTCTGTTAAAAAATGATCAAGGAATAGTGACTCTTGGTTCCCTGTGACTTGTTTTGAGCGTTTCTGAGCTGAAAGAGGGTGCAAAAGGTAAGAATGGTCTCCTTAAGAAATGACCCCTTATCCTCATGCTTCGACCTTTGGGGACTTACTTGTCCTGGCTCAGGAAAACTGCTGTCAAGGTGGACATGATGGTGCCCAGGCAGCCTGCGATGGCCCACCAGGGGTTCTGGACAAAGAGGCCGATGATGATGAGGATGCCGCTGAGTGGGTTGTTCACAAACATCACCTGAGATGTGCCCCGGAGCACCCAGTCAAGAAACTGGAACACAGGGGACTTGTCTGCAACGGAACAGGCCAGAAAGTCAGCAACTGCTCCGGTGTGGGGTGGCCCTGGGCAAGGCCTGGGGACAGGCGGAGGGTGTGAGAAATCTCCCTGCCAATTCCAACTGGGTTTTTAGGGCCCTGCTGTCGCTCACCACAGAAGAGGGCTGACAAAGAACCTAGAACTGGATTTGATTTTCAGAAAACTTGAACCTTGCTATTAGCCAAGCAGAGTCTTTAGGCAGCCAGTACTAAATGCTTATCTGCAATACCTGGATGGGACATTTGGGACTGAAGGACTTTTGTATTCAAAAACAAGAGCTTGTCACTGGTATATGTGGCTTTTATATCCAAAGAGACTGCTACAGCAGCAGAATTCCTAGCTTCCCAGGAAGACCCTAGAAATAGAGCTCACACTGCTCTATAGAGAACCCTTATTGCAGTGTGTTTCCTTGGGGTGACAGAGGAGATGTTTCTAGGGGTGAGGTCAGGCCTGCCATTGTGGAATGGTACCTTTAAGTCCGTCTGCACACTCCTTCATCTCTCCTGTGATGTAGCTGAGGGCTTGGCTGATCCTCTTCCCCCCAGCAGCCATGGAACTCTGGATCCAAGACATCCTGGGCACAGTGGTTTCCACCTTTATCTCAGAGCTTTCCTCCATGGTGTCCAGATCCTGTCCAGAGATGAGAGATGGGCATCCGTCCTCCACATTCTGTGGCTTTCACACTGAGAAGTCCTGTTCGTGGTCCCTTTAGGACCGAGCTAAGATTTTTATTAGGTATTTTGTTAAACTGCTATTTAGTCATTTGCCTGTTTCTATAGATTAGAGTCTTTTGTTTTATCACTCATTTGATATTGGCAACTGTCATGAGGCACAACAGGATGACATCTTTATACTGATTCTGTAGATGAGCACCCAGACATGCACAGGGTTGTGCTTGCAAAGGTCAGGGTCAAATGATAGAATTAATACATTCAGTCACCTCTCTCTCTCTTTCTATCTCTCTCTCTCTCTCTCTCTCTCTCTCTCTCTCTCTCTCTCTCTGTAATATTGGGGATTCAACTAAGAACAATGCTCATGCTAAGGAAGCACTGCACCACTGAGTTATGTCTACAGCCCCCCCGCCCCCTTTTTAAAATTCACTAAGTTGCCCAGGCTGGCCTTAAATCTGTGGTCCTCCTGTTTCGACTTCTTGAGTCGAAATGCATCCTGGGATTACAGGATGCATTATTGCACTTAGCTTCTAGATTTTTGCGCACACATTATTTCAAAAGTCATTACTTACATTTTTACACTTACATTTTTTTCTAGAAGATACTGTTTTTTCTCTGACATGAATAGCCTTTAAAATTTAACAGTCCGTAAACACAAAGGCATGACACTGAACTTGTAAAGATTCTGTTTTCCAAAACTGACATGATTTATTTCCTAAAGGCTCAGAAGAAACCTGATTATAACTCAAATAACAGGAGTAGGAAAGTTCACACAGTAAACTGTGAGAAACAGACATTTTAATCTCATAATTACATTTCTGAAAATATGAATTCATGAAAAGTTGTCCTCTGTCAGAGCCTCTGGACAGATGTCAGTTTCACCGTCTGATGTGGAAGGTTGCTGTCTGACGGCCCCCTGTACTCACCAGCAGCTCCACAGCGGGCTTCCGGTAAGGATAGGGAAAAGGTTCTTTGGTCTGTCTCTCCTGGCTGTCACCTTTTCCAAACACTAGAGTCAGAAGAGAATCATCAGTTTAGAACCCGTACTTTGGCATCCTAGCTGGCAGGAGTTAGGCTACTTGGTATTTCCCATTTCATTGTGGAGGCAGGGAGGCCTGGAGCCTTGTATGTGACAGTTTCCTGTGCTCACGGGCCCACTTGGGTGTGTATATCATATGGAAACAGGACATTTTACAAAGAACATAGAGTTCCAAGACTCCACTGATGCTTCATTAAGAAGCCCTATATTTTTTAGATAAGGAAACAGTAGCCCAGAGGGGCAGTGATTTGCCTGTGATCCTTGATGATTCTTCTATACCACATGGACAATTTGTAGGGGCACAAAGAAGAAAACTTGGAGTCCTTTGCTGCTAAAAAGATGCTCTTCCTGAGCCATATGGGCTCTGGGTTTGAACTAGGCTACCCTTCTTCTCGGCTGGGTCCCCATCAGGCTATTTGGGATTTGAACTTTTTCCTTGTAATCTTTTTATTTTGTCTTTGAATTTTAAGCATTTTAATACGAACTGCGGGATGGATCGGGACAAGTAATATACATGTAGTTACTTAAACCAGATTTTGTTATGTCCTTTACATCTTTAAAACTCTTGTAATGTAACCACAAACATTTTTTGCTATTATGCATAATTTATTTTCAGGAATGACAGATTTCAATAGTGTTTTGCGTGTTGCGCGAGATCAGGCTCTGACATTTTTGGTCTTGGTGCTCGGGTTCCCTCTGGTGGTCAAATGTGAGAATAGCTGGCTGGGCTTTGCCTACGCTGGATTTATAGACTGAATTGGCTTCTGCCTTGCAACAGAGTTGCTGCCGCAACTCCCATGCGCCTTCCTCTTCTGGGGCTTTACATGGGCTTTATCGTGCCTGCTGCACTCTGTTCCCGCACTCGTGAGAGGTGTTAGGAGGGAGATTATTGACTGTCCAAGGCAAACCACGCTGTCTCCACATCATGGGAGCCAATCAGAGAGAGGCACACTCCTGGGCTTGAGGGGCCCTTGAAGTTAACTGCAATGCCTCTTTGCCGTGTAGGTTTCCCCATAATCAGTCAGGCCTATTTCTGTGACTCAGCTGACTTTTGGTATGAATGATATGAGCTGGAGAAAGAAAGTCACTAACACGTCTTCTGAGAGGCACATGCTGGGAGGAGGCACTAGCCTGGGAATCAGTTGTATCCCTGCAGTGTCTCTGGTCTGCTGTGTGGGTCTGGGTCTGAGGAATTCAGCTCCCTTCTCTGGGGTTGGCTCTCTCTCCTGCCTCTTCATAAGCTGTTTCAGTCTCCAGCTGATGGGGCAGGTCCTCCAGAAGGCTTCCTATTTGCCAGGACCTGACCTCAGCTTCCAAGTGCAAGTTTCTGGCTACCTCATCCGCTCAGCTTTGGCAGCCTTCCCGAACCTCTCCTGGTCTATAGAAGTCCTCTGCACTCTCCTCTCTTTCTCTCTGTGTACCTGTCATTGCCTTGGGAAAGAATTATTCATCTTTAGCTCTCCACATCGATAGTTTTTGAGTCAATGGCAAGCTGGAATCTCATGAAAAGTTCTAAAGGATCCTGATGCCCCTGCAGGCTGCCCCTAAGTGAATTAGGGTCTTTGAGTATGGGATCCAGGTGATTCACACACTCATCCACATGGCCACCCATGTCCACTGCCTAGCCCAGCTTGCTCCCCCATTTAGGCAGGGTGTATCCAGACACAAGGAAGCTGTGACCTTGGCCAGCGGTCAGGCTTGATGAGAATGAATCTGTTCTCATGGGTGTTCCCACCACCCTGTAGGGTAGGTACAGGTCATTGTCTTTGTTTTATCAGAACAAGGAAGCTGGGGACCCATCAGGAAGTGCACACCTTTGCTCCTCCTCCGAACAGATGACCACTCGATGTGGAACACACTCTTGTGTCTGGGGAGCACAGCCTCAGTGCCTTCCTCTGCCTTCTGGCCCACTGTGAGTGGCTGCTCTCCACTGCTGCCTACCAGGGACCAAGAAGAGACAGGTCAGTGTCTACCGGAGAGCCAAGCAGAGCATGAGGAAAAATCATATCCAGAAGCTAGAAAAGAGAGAGCTGTACAGTCTGATGTTTAGGGAGGGACTACATCCATCTTTGTATAAAATACTCAGCTGTTCCACGTCTCCAATTACAACTTCTACCTCCTCTTTCTGTAGGAACCCAAATTCCACCATGAGAGGTGGGTGGGCCAGCCAAAGACCTATGGCACTGTACTGTGGGTAGATCTGAACAGACAGACCCTAAGCTGACCACAGCGAGCACCTTGAGCACCACCTGTAGCAGGGAGTTTGAAAGCCAGCTGCATGTTAGGTGCTTAAAAAAATAGCCTGAGGCTTACTCCAAACCAGTGAGGAAGATTAAAGTTTCCAATGTCTGTGGTATTTAAAAGATGACTCTCATGTGCAGCTCAGGCTTAGAATTATTGGTAGAAATTCTTGCTACTTAATGTTTGATCCTTAGACCAGCATTAGCCTCCTCTGGGAACTTGTTAGAAACGCAAGATTTCAGCCTAACCCCAGACTGATGGAAATCAGAAACTTATATTTCAACAAGTTCCCCAAGGTGAGTTCTGTGCATATTAAAATCTGACAAGTACTTATCTAGGGGGAACTAAGTATCTTGAATACATTTCTTGTGAGCAACCTTCTTCTGTAGCATAGTATTTTCATTTTCCACATTGTGGGGAAGAGATCACCTTTACCATGATGAACAAGATTTCTCAAGTTGTGGTCCTAGAAGGACGATATCATATCCCTTGTGTGGCTTATTAAAGTAGAGTACTTGGTGATCCCTAGGGCACACTTGTCTAACATCAGGGTTCTAGCACACACCAGAGTCAGAGGTCCAGCAGCTGCCTGAAATGGAGGAAAACATTCCCCAGTGTTTTTGCACACTCTCTAGGTGAACTCACTTTGCTTGTCAAACAGTACCTTGAAACAGGTTGGATGGGCGTTATCACCAAAAGATGGGCAATTTAGGCTCAGCATGATTTCTATGGCATTCTACTAACAGTGAGCCATGGGGTTCTCCGTGTCCAATTATTTTTCTGCATCTTTGCTATTCAGAATCTGATGTTCCTAGAATAACTTCATGGTCGTCACCAGGGAACTTGGTAGGAATCTCAGGCTTCAACCCAAAACCACTGAATTAAAATCTGCTTTTTAACAAGATCTCTTGCTGATTCGTGTGAACATCAAAGTTTGAAAAGATTGGCTGGATCACACTGCTTATGTAGAGTCAACTTTATCAAAGCTCAGAATATTATTGGCAGGATCAATATCCTGAGAGTCTGGGTAGGGGGTATGTATGAGCAATGAAATAAGTCTTGTCTGCTTTTTTGGATTGTAAGGGAACAACAACTATGGAGCTTTTCTCAGGCTCAGATGGAGGAACTGCTGCTGTTTTGGACTCCTGTCTGTGGATCAGCACTGAGCCATAACTTCCAAGGCTGGGAAATGTCTGTGAGCACACTGCACTGCAGAGGCACCCGGAATTTTAACTTTCCCCGGGCACTTCTGCAGAATGGGAACCCAGGGCATGTCCTTGCACCATCTGTGTTCTTCCACAGTGCCAACCCCCAGGGCCAGCCAGGGCACTTTGCCCACCCCCACTCCCCGCCAGGCTGGAAGAGCACTTCCGGGGACCATTACGTCTTATTCCTTATAAGTACCTTATAAGTACCTCTTATTCCTTGCCAAGTACCAGTCACCCCAGCTTTCACCTTGGCAGAACTGTATTTTGACCTTAGAGTCATAAACTCAGAACTAGATGTAAGCTTCAAGATCACAGTCTACCTCCTTAAAAAAAATCAACTCACCGAGATACATAGCTTATTAATCATGGCAAACCTAGGAACTGCTTCGGGTCTCTTAACTATCAATTTGCTGCTCTTTCCACTGTACTGTGAAGAACCTTCACAAGTACAAGGAAGTACAAGAAAGAGGCTTTTTTAAAAAAGCATGGGACCTGGTCCTAGATATTGGAGGCCACAACAAATGCCATTTACTTCATATATACAAAGAGGGTGCTTTGGTTTAAGTCATCAAGGAAACATTTAACTAGAACTTTTGGTAATGCAAAAAAGGAAAATTTCTGATTGTTGAGACACCCTAGAGGTTTTTTTTTTTTTTTTTAAACTGTATTAGCTATAGAAACAGAGATAGAGAGATCTGTGTGTGCTGATGAGGTCTCAGTGAGGAAGCGGGAGATTACTGGCTGAGACTGAGCCCATCCATCCGTCAGGGCTTAAGGATGGCTACAGAAAGCCATCAGCCTCTGTTCTACTGTTCTGCATATCTAACAGCCCAGATCCTGTGCCTCTCATAGCCCAGGAAAGTGAGGCAGGACTATGTATTTCTATGCATCCACAGATCAATGACCCACCACAAAAACCAAAAATAAGAATCACATTTCTCACATGAGCAATACTAGAATGCTGGGCTACAGACCAGCCAGAGAAGGCCACAGCCTTCAAGCTGTGCTAGTGGAAAGTTGAGAATGAGAGATGGGAACACGTCTTATAAGAGGATTGGAGATAAAATAACCAACTTCCCAAGGCTGTGGAAAATCTTGGAATGAAGGTGGTAGTAATTTACTACTGGCCTCTGGGACAAATTCTCAAGACTTTCATAAAAGATAAAGGCAACTTTAAGAATATTATGAGCATGTCTATCAAATGTTCTAGAAATGAGCTATACTGTGGATGTGTGGGAAAGAAAGAAAACAATAACACTGGCTGGGAACTAGAAGTCACTAATTGTTGCCTGATCTTTTGCAAGTCATGTAATCTCATTGAGCATTTCTTCAATAGCAGGCATGAAATTCTCCCGGGGAGAAATTTACAGACTCTGTAGGGCCGACCTTGCAAACCCAACCTGTAGATGATGACAGCATCTCAGAGGGATACCTGCCACTTCTTTCTTGTGTTGTAATAAAATGAGATAATGCTTGCAAAATGCTCTGGAAAGTAATTTTGCAGTGCTCACACATCAGGTACCTCCTTAGGGAGAACACTTCCATCTGATGGTTCCAGGCCCCTCTGCTCCAGGCAGGTTGGCTCTTTATCCTTAGGGGACACCTGGTATTTTACACTTATCTGCATTGACTCTCACCCAGCTGAGAGTTAATTATGTGTTTTCGACTGGTGAAATTTTTGACAGCCAGGAGTACACTAATTTCTCTTGACACTCCCAGCGTCTATCATGTGTCTGGTACACGTAGACACTCAGAAGAGTTTGTTGAATAAATTAACGAAGGGTGGATTGTCCTACAAATTTCAATTTCCAAATGGTGTAACAAAGAAAGTCAAATAATATGTCTTAAGGTAAATGTTAAATACTTGATAAATACTGAAATAGAAGTAAGGAGCTTTCATAGGTGTTTGCAAATTGTAGCTGAGTTTTGTAGGGTTTTGGAAGCTGCAAAGTGAGCGCTGATTATTTCAAGCATTACTTGGATAAAACAGTGGAAGTTTGTAGATGGTGGTAAAAAGGTTGGCCATCTATGACCACCAATCAGGAACTCAGAAGTTCTATAACAGTGGCTGGAATAACAGCTGATGAGAGAGGAGAAAACAGGCTATTGAAGATAGAGGTGTGGCTTGATGATTTGTTTTGGTACCAGATGTTATTTTGATCAATTTCACCTGGCCATAGATCCCAAAGCTGCTTGGAGATGGGGTTGGCCTCCATAGCCCAAGAGTATTTGCAGTAAGTACTCAGTAAGTGCCTTTATTTGTCTCTTGCAATATCAGACACACACAGAAAATAGAACTTGTGTGGCCTGGTGCAGTAAACAGATGCTGGGCCCAGGGACTCTGGTTACCATGGGTCCCACCTGGGTGCCTGGACTGCCAAGGGCATTGCCGTCTTGGTACAGCTCGGTGTGTTCTGTGATACACAGTTAGAAAGCTCTGTCATTCTTTAGATAATCTTGTTTGCTGCCCAGACCCTTTTCCTATGTCTAAGCATTTATGAAAACCTGAATTTCTTATTCTAACCACATGATTCCCCTGTTAGAAACTTGATTTCTGTCCCCCTTGACAGTGTTTTCTAAACAAGATAAACTCTTATCTTTTCTACAAAAGAAACAAAAAAAAATAAGGAAAAAAAACAAAGAAAGAAAAGAGCCCTGTCCTCGGTCACCTGTGGGTCAATAACTGAGTGACTCCTTGGCATGTCCGCCCAGTGTAGGAACTGCTGCTCTCCTCTCCTCTAACAAGCCTTATTAAATGTCCCAGTGCATGAAGCTTCATGCTGGGGGCCATTTGGGATCATTTGGGACCATTTTAGGGGCACGGTTCCTGCTTTTGAGGATTACCATTGTCCTGTGTTTCAATAGGCAAGAGTCCAGTGGTGGCTCCTTCCCATTGATTCAGAAGTGAAGAATATCTCTGAGTCAAAAGCACTGGTACATAGACTGTTTCCTGGGGGCATAGTGATCCAAAAGAACTCAGGTGTCTGTTCACTTCGAATGCATAGAACATGGCAATCATTCAAATCATTAGTAGTAAGAAAAGATTTTTTTAGCAGACCCTGGTTGTGAAATAAAAATTTGAATTTTTTTTTACAGTTTCATTAAGGGAACAAAAGAAACCTAAACCCTATTTGCCATCTTGCAGAAGCAGAGACAGGCTAAAGTCTGTCTGGAAATCAACCCCACAGGCCCATGCCTACATATTTTCAATGAGGTATCTTTCTCGGGTCTTACTTTCTCCTGGAGGTGAATGGATGCTGCACACAGGTCAACACGTGGAGCATTTGAATTCACCGTGAAGACTTTGTCATCCCTCCCATCTCTTTGGGCTTCTTATGCCTTTGGTTTGCCAAAAATGAACACACACACCATAAGATTGCAACACAGAATGATGTTCTCCTTTTGAAATGAAGCATCATATATAATTTGATATTTTCCCCCACCAGTTCTACATGATTATGCTTTGGTCAAGGTTTGGATCTTTCCTTATGTAGAAGCTTTACACCATGACTTGTAATTTCTAGGGCTACACTTTGTGTGGGTGTGTGCTTTTGGGAGGCAAATGGGGTGATCCATTTTTTCCTGTGAGGTTGTATTTCAGTATTTTCAAAGATTATCCTATAAACTATTAAAAGCTTTGAATGTTGAAACTGAAAAAACTTTTGAGACTCTAGTCTGGCCTTCTCATTTTACCTATAGAAATCGAGGCCTAGAGGGATGGAATGATTTGGTCATGGTCACAATAGCTGTTGGCAGAGCCAGGAGCAGATATCACGTAGGTCTGCTCAGTCTCTTGCATTGTGCTCTATGATTTATTCTTCTAAACCTTACCTTCACAAAAGTGTTGTTTTTGGTCTGTTGGTTCAACTCTGTTTTGAATGCAATGGTTTAATTAGGTATTATAGAATCCATTTCTTTTTAAATGATGGGTCCCCAAATCTTCCTGTACTTTCCAAATATAACTGGTCTGGGAGGTGGGCTGAGAGACAGAAGAGCCAAAGAGCAAGGGCTGGCTCAGGGGAGTACTTAGAAATAAGTTACTCAGAATCCTCGGCTTGTCATTAAGCCAGTTATTTGAAAACATAGGATACTCACTGGAACCCTGAAACAAATGAAATTCACCTTTATAGTCAACACTTTAAACCCTCTTCTCCTTCTTACAGCTCACCACTTGGCCAATGGACTGCCCCACACTTTGTTTCTTTTGGCATCTTTGGTTTCCTCCACAAGGGCGATATTAGTAAGTACAAATGAATTGGTAAGTTATTTAACTTCATGATGACCTCACATAAATAATATTAAAATGAGAGTCCACAGGCCAGAGCACCCTGTTTGCTACCATGATAACACTTGATCCATTTCTCTTTTCGGTCTCTTTCTTGTGTAAATTTCCCAGCACATACCCTCAGGATTGCATGTCTATTTTCAGTATCCTTGATTTTGATCATTCTCCTTTCAATTCTTTCTTCAACCATATCTTTTATTTACTTTCTTACTCGATAATCTACATCTCCCGTTAGCTAGGACATTAAAAGGCTGTCTATTCTTTGATCAGATAGCTCCATATTTCTGGCACATTACTTTTTGTGACCTGGTTATTTGTCTTCCAGAAACACTTCCTTTCTGTAATCACACAGAATGAGGCTATGGCACTCTCAAATGGATATGTTAAGATGGGCCACTAAGGACTGATGAGAAGCTGGGGTGGTAAAATGTTTGTGGAGACTGGATGGTCCAGCTCTATTAGTGTTTCTGCCAGATGAGTATAGGACCCTGAGGTCAGGGCAAGGAACCTGGAGCAGGTGCTTGAGCCCTGGCAGCAGCATTTAAAGGGCTTGCCATCAGGAGGCACTCAGCTCTACCCTGTTGGCCAGAGGTTGCATTCCAAAGATTAATTCAACATAATGTTGCCCTGGGAATAACACTGATGTCAGAGCTGTGGGTTGCAAAGTTGTAGAAAAGATGGTGTTTGTTTTAAAGATTTACCTAGTGAACAGGTGAGGTAGGAAAGGGAATTTGGAGGCTGACTAATTTACCTGGTGGTAAAGCAAATCAGTCAGGATTGTTCTTTAGCATTCCTGGGATTTTGCCCACGATCTTTTATCACCTGTGTTAAATCTCTGGAAAAGCTGTGATTTCCTCATCTAGAAAACATAGGCTTTAGACTATAAATATTTAAGAGCCTTTCTGGCTTGAAGCTTCTGCCATCTAGATTCTCTCTGGATTCCTTAGTGAGTATCCCATCCTACAACTGTGCTTCCCAGATGCAGCTCAACTGAAGAACAAAGCAGACCTTTCCCATTAAAAAGTCAGATGATCTTGTTGGCTTAGTGTCTAATTGGTTTTTTTCTGTCCCCAACACCCTCTTACCTGGGCTCCTTTTGATTTCCTGTACAGGGCTGGAAGACTCCAGACCATCAGGACTGGGGAAGAAGCTTCTTTCCAGTTGGGCAGTGCCTCTGGTCCTCAACTCCAGGATCTGTGATTTCTCCTAAGCCTGAACCCTTTCATTTTCCTGACACTTCCTGCCTGGCCATTCTCTTGCTGACTTTCTATAAATTTCCTAATTTATGTCCTCTAAGCTCATGCCTGGCACACCTCTGCCATTTGAGGAAGAGTACCATGGAGGAGGAAGAGGGAGAAGAAAAACAAAATGTCCCCTTTTTGAGCTTTTTTACACTGTCTTCTACCTTTCTGCAAAAAGACTAACTTCCTAAACTCTTTGGGGAAGATGAGCCCCTGCTACCACAGTGCCCCACGTGGGTGGACCACACAGATTTGCTTTCAAGGGCAGACTGTCTAGTGGCTTACCTGTTATTTCTCTTGCATTACTACTTCTCATTAGAATTCTAGTGCCAGCATTAGCTCTTAAAGCAATTATTTAAGTGTTGTTTCCTCAGGGGAACAATTTGCCTTCCAACCTCAATAAGCTGCCTTAATCCCTGGTACAGACAGGGTGCAGGCTGGGGAGCAGTGTTGCCATCAGCGGCTTGGTGGAAAGTTTTGCGTAGCCTAATGCTAGATGTTGCCTTTTGTATTCTGTGGAAATTTTCAGACCTTGCCTCTTAGCTCTTGGTGACTGGGGTCCTGACTCACCAGGATCTCAGATCAAGAAGGGCATGACCTAACCCCCGTGTTCAGAAAGGATTCTTAGGTCTATATATTAGGGAGTCTGGCCCCCCCAAGTCCCATGAGGCCATGGTGTGGTGGGCTAGAGTTTGTGGGGGCAGCAATCCAAACATGCTTTACTTGGCTTTGTGAGTTTGATGGGTCATCAACCCCCACATTTGTGTACCACCTTCACTCCCCGCAATGTACACTCAGGGACAGAGTACGGTGGCCTGCCCACAAGCAGAAAAAACCTCACACAGAGGAAATTAGCTACACCTGAGTAGACAATTGCCCCCACTGACGTCAAAGATCGCCTTCCCACCATACCAGGTGTTTTGGAACTGTGGAAGAAGGGTCCTGAACAGGAAAAGCCTTCTGAAGGAGAAAAGCAAACAAAGAGAGGAGGATGGAAGGATCCTTGGTCCCCTCCCCAGAATCCCAGGGAGAGGTGAGGTGCATGTGTGGTGGTGGTAGAGCAGGTCAGTTTCCAGCCCAGGGACCTTTCCTGGATGTTGCCAGTGCAGGGCCCGTGGCTTTGAGCTGATATGTGAACTCTCATCTTTTCTTTGTCCTGCTGCCACTATGACTATTGGCTCAGCTCAGGTTGCTTGTCCTTTGCCCTGTGTCTTTAGCCTCTCCTAAGAGCTTCTGAATTCCTCTCCCTAAGAGCTCCTGAATTCTTGCGGTACATTCACTCTATCTCCCTAAGCATCGATAGTTGCTCCCTGACACAATAAGGAGATGTTACTTGCAAACAACATCTAATCAAAATGGAAAAACAGGAAATGATCACTTTTAAAAAAGCCGTGAGTGAGGTTCAGTGGGTCCCTGAGCTAAACAGAACTGTAGTTCTTATAAAGTATCTATCATATATGTTAGACTTAGAGTGGGGCAGACTTTGGGTCTGTTTTGGAAAGCAAAAGGCCAAGATGAAATCTTGTTCCCAACAGGTCCTACCAAAGGCCAGAGCTTGGGTACTAAGGATCTTTAAGAGATCTATTTATGACTGTGGATCTCTCTTTTGGAAGTTTATTTAATCAGAATTCACTTTGGTCCAGAATGAAATTTTCTGCACAGTGTTTATGGCTCCCTTTATTTCCAGTCTCATAGAGGAGGGATAACAGGGTATCAGAGGCCTCCAGCATGCAAGGTGAAGTAACTGCAACTGGCACTGGCAGTTCTCTGCAGGGCTGCTTCCTTTCTTCTGCTCTGCTTCAGCAGCTGTGTGTGTGTGGGGGGGGCTAGCGGCTTCTCTTTATCAATTCACAGAGCCTTTAAGATGTATGTTTCCCTCCTCTACCCCCCCCCCTCCTTTGGGGCCTTGGAATTTCTAGTTCCCTATGAATTTTCTGAATGACTAAAGGTGGGAAAACCTAGGCTAATAATCATCTTGATTACCATCATCATCTCATATGAATGCTTTAAATTTGCCAAATGAGACTATTGTTTCTTGAGAAATCTCCCATCCAAGTACTAACCAGGCCCAACCCTGCTTAGCTTCCGAGATCAGATGAGATCTGGAGTGTTCAGGGAGGTGTGGCCATAGACTGTTTCTGGAGAAATCGTGCCCTCACTGAAACTTCCATCCCCTGCCTGGTGTAGATGACAACTGTCCAGATCTTCACCACATTTAGGACCCAAAAGAACAAAGCTCAGACTCCTATAGGAAGCACAAACAGGGGCCTGTGGGTGTGATGTGGCCATGATGCTGGCCAGGAGACCTGTGATGGAGGTCATAGAAGGTTGACTGGACAAGAACCCCTCAGAAGAGACAGCAAAGGGGAGGACCAGATCAAGTCCCAGTGATGTTGGTCCAGTCTATGTACTTAGAGCAGCCAGGTTGTGTATTTTGGTAAACAGAGCGAATGTCTAACTGGTCCAGTTCTAAGAAAAGCTGGAAAGGTAACAATGGTATATTTTTGGTACTTTTCTTGTCTATGTTCTTATGTTTTATTATCCACCTTAGCTATACTTTCTTCTTATTCATCTGTGGCAACCCAGGGCCACAGAGTCATAGAAACTTGGAGCTGGAAGAGACAGGCTGCAACAATCCAGCGGTTTCGCGCCCTCACACGTTGACCAAACAATTGTCCTCAACTGAACTCCAGCCCTGGCTCCTGCACCATCTCATAAGACCTCATTTCTTAGGCAACTTCACTGTTACCAAGCTCCCTTCCCCACCAACTCAGTCTTCCTGCTTATTATGCCCACCTTTGTGCTCTGTGTATTGGGGTAACATTTAATTGACTTCCACCACATGTTGATGCAGGCAGAGATGGCCTCCTCATTTCTTCTGTTCAAGCCAAATCCAGCCAGCTTCATCATCGTATCCAGAGGGAAAAAGGAGTCCGCACCTCATTTGCCCAGCTTGCCCTCCTGTCAGCCCACCTTTCACCAAAAATCATCTCCAAATGTGCTGTGCATATTTTCTTTGTACTCTCCCTTCACTTTTCATCAAACCTTTTCTCAGAAATGGCCCCTCCAACCTAAGACGCAAATGATTGATCATGCTTACTGTGCGCTTCCCAGAACTGTTTATATTGTAACAGGTTCAGAGCCTTAAGTCAAAGGGATGGCTGGGAATGCTTGGGCAGCAGGTAATAGAAATACAGGAGACAGGAGTAGAGGCACAGAACTTTTCCTGGAGTCCTAAAATCATGCCCAATACATTTCCTAAATAGAAGACCAAGTCAACCAGATAACTTACTCAAGACAAAAACACACGTGAACTTAAGTGGGAATCAGGTCATCTGAGTTACCAGTCTCATCTTTATCTCTGCTCGAACTATTCACCCGGCCAGGTAAGTCCTCATAAAGTAAATTCCTTGAAGTCAGGAGTTGGTCTGATTCTTTCCTGGTTTACTGTCAAGCCTAAGGCCCAGGTAACATATTAATAGTTCCTCCTGTGATGTCTCCTGGACAAATGAGTGAATGAGGTCAGGTCAGAAGGCAGAGTGTCTTAGGTCATAAATGTTAGCATACAGCCCTGAGCAACCAACATAGGAGCCCATCTAGAATGGGATATGGGAATAGTATGAAGTTTAGGGGAGCAAGTTATCAGAACCTGTATCTCATTTCAGGGGCAAGAGGAGATAGCAACAAGAAAATAGTACCAACATACCTGGGATTCTATCCCAAAGATTTTCTAAAACAACTTAAACCATTATATTTAAATGAAAAAATTCAATGTATCTGTTGAATTGAAGGAAAGCTGTGCTTGGAATCTCAGTCTGTGATTGGAAGATCAAGTGGAAGAAATATCTCAAAGCAGAACAAAAATAAAAATTGTGAAGAAGATGCTTAGCTCAAGGAGCCCTAACATTTGGACATGGGAGTTCCAGAGACAGAAGACAAAAGAGATGGATAAAAAGCAGTCACACAAATGGTAGAGGAAAAGTCTCTGTCTGGGCTGAAGAAAGACAACTTCACAGACTGAAAGGCAAAACAGATGAGAAAAGACACATGAGCCTAGCTTCATAAAATTCCTGAACCCCAAAGATAAAGAGAATATCTTAATGTCATTTAGAAAGGAAGACAGATTATTTACAAAAGAAAAGAATGAGAGTGGCCTCAGGTTTCCCATTTGTGGCACCAGAGCAGAGTGACAGAAAACAAAGGAAAAACATCTATAGACAACTGCAATGGCTGATTGCACCCCAGAGAACCCACACCCAGCCACAGTGCCGTTCATTTGTCACAGGAACGAAACTCAGGGACATGCAAAGAGTCAGAGAATGTGTCATCCATAATTTCTCAAATGTTCTGTGAAGAAAATATGAAAAAGTTCTAGACGAGTAATAAGTGAATCAGAACAGAGATTGCAGGACAGGGAAAGACGAAGAATAGAGGAAAGAATGATAGAACACAAATAGGACACTCCATGGACAAGCATAGAGTGCATGTTACCTGGGCAAGTAAGGGGTTATTGCAGAAAGAACAAGCATATTGTAAGGAGAAAAATTAAGAATGATAAAGCATCTCAGTAAAGGTTAGGGTGGGAGATGGTTGGAGAAGAACAAGACTGATGCACTGGGGAGGAAACTGGAAGAATTATAGAAGCTTTAGCTCCTGGGAGAGTGGAAGGAAGGAGCACTGGAGAAATGGGGTATCACATGGAGGTAAGCCACTGGGCACTTTATTTTTAGGTAACAGTAGAGAAGTGGACTTTTGATCAAGGGTGTTGGGAGAGGGGCGGTAACCACAAGTGGAAGGGAAAACCTGAATGTTCCGGTTTCATGTTTAGATGCTTCCAGTGTTCCAGCTGTCCGTGTTTTGACTTTAAAACCCCACCCACATGAAGCTCCTCTCTTTGTGTAAGGCTGTGGGTGCCCATCCGCTGCTCTCTGCTTGGAGGGGACCTTCACTTCCTAGCACAGGATCTCAACTTACCCCCCAGTCCATGTCTGCCTGGGAGCCACTCAGCAAGTTCATTTCCACAGCATTTATTATTTACTTAAACATGCCAAGAAACTCATCCCCTGTTTACCTTCCCCAATGACTCTGTTTTCAATTTATGCCAACAGCATGTGAAACACACTCCTTACTTCTAACTTTGGCAATCTTATCACGAACTTCTTTTAATATTGCACAGTGGATAGTTTTGAAGATTTGGGTAGAGAGAGAAAAATCAGGCTCAGGGATAGGGAGTGACAGGTGTTTTTGATTTGATACAGGTGCCAGAAGAGGCAAAGAAGTTGAGTGCTGTACTGATTGCCCCAGAGTTGAAACCACAGGTGTCCAAGCAAGAGCATTTCTGTTGGGAGCTGGGCTAGTCACCGCTGGAGGACTTCGCTCCTTCAGGAGTTTTCATTGTCAGGTAGTAGATGCGGTTGGCCTCTGGGTAGGTGACCTTGTTGAGTGGGAGCTTGCAGATGGCAGGGTTGTTAGTCTTCAGAAGCAAGAAGATAAGGGAAGAAAGGCAGAAGGCCCAGGTGCCTGGTGACACACCAACCTAGAAATAAAAGCATTGGGGCCTGAAGAATGCTTCTGGGATCCTGTTTTGGGTCAGAGACCTGGGGAGGAGGCTACGGAAGGGACTGAAGATGAGGATCCTCTTCCATTGGAGGCATTGGTGTTCCTGGGATGGTGCTGTGGTAGCTGGTCAAGAAACCTGAAGTGTTGATAACTTGGTATACAACAATATCTTTCAATGTTGGAGCTGAAAATTGGCCTAGGAACCGCCTCCCACATCTGGTCCTACAGCTCCATCTTTACCCATTCTTTGGGTAAACCCTGGATGAACCTTGACAAGAACACTGGACAATATACCAGATACTATAACTCACTCATAATTTTTCCACCACATCCCAAGCATCTGGAAATTCTACTAGTGAAATAATACTTAGGGTCATGTTCAGGAGAAACCAAACTTACCACCGCCAGCATGTTGGAAATGGCTCCTCCCATGTATGCACAGAAGAGAGCTGTGCAGGAGAAAGGCATCAGAGTCAGTTTCGCAGGGCCTGCCCTTGCCCTCAGCCACTGTCCTGACAGAACAGCAGGCCCAGGCCAAGGCAGGCAGCCGGTGCACTTTCCTGGACCCTTGGTGTCTGTACTATGCCCTGACATCAGGCTGTCTGTCTGACATTGCCTGTCTTTGCAGCTGTCTCCTATCAGACTGTGCCTTTCTTTGAGAGAAAAGATTAAAACTTGTATTTATTTCTTCTCCTTTCCCATATCCATAGTGGCCTTGCATAGAGCTAGGTCTTCACCGACATTTCCGGCTTGTTCCCATTAATTTGGGGAGCGGGGTGGGCTAGAACAGGCGCATAACTCAGGTGGTGGCTGGGAAACAGCCAGAGTGACTTGTTTGTCATGCTCCTGAACACTTACCGCAGACAAGGGCAAGTAGGTGGGTCTGCCAGGTGAGGGCATAGAACATGCCCCCGATGGCGATGCAGGAGAGGACACAGTTGTAGCCCCAGAGGCCCATGTAGATTGTCTCGAAGGGTGTGGCCACCGTTAGGGCTGTGGAACAAAGTGTGGCATTTATTCTAGACCATGTTAAAATGGTCCCTTCATGGCTCATGCCAGGTCTGAGGGTGCCTTCCTTCCTCTACTTCACCCCATTATTCACAATCCTGCCTACTTCAGGAGGCTCTGCAAATGGCTCCCAGGCTTCAGAAACCGACAATGAGAAGGAAGCAGTGGTGTCCAAAGTCCCCAGTGGGTTTTTTTTTTTTTTTTTTTGGTACTGGGGATCAAACTCATGACCATGTACTTGCAAAGCAGGCGCTTATGCCACTGAGCTAAATCCCCAGCGAAAGCCTCCAGTCTTCACACAGAAATATTACTGCTTCTAGAGTGACAAGAAGCCTAGAAGGCTCCCAGCATCACCTACTCCTTTAGTAGAGCAGCTGCATTTTTAGCAAGAAAAAATTTCAACTTAAAGGTCTTATTTCAAATGGCTCAGAAAAATTCTCTGCACAGATCTATGTAGAACAGAAGGTTATGTTCAACAGGTAGGATTTGAACAATATGGTTAATTTAGGATTAATAGGTACCGATTGTATTTACTTTTGTAATTTTTTGGTGTGTTTGAAATTATTTCCAATTTAAAATAGAATTTAAAGTTCTGCTGTCAAAATTATTTGAGAAGCATTTGAAAAAGTAAAAAACAGGCTGCTATTACCAAGCCCTGTATCTCATTTTGGGGCTCTATCATTGGGAAGAGCATATCTGTATATAAATGCATTTACATACATATACATGTATGGAGGAATGTGAAATTGCACTTGTGAAATGCCAGCTTATTTGGGGAAAGTCTTTTACTTTTAGCTTATTTAAAACTTTGAAGTCCTGGGCCATGTGTATCTTACCATGGGCAATTCCTTCCCTTGTCCCCCAGCCAGTTACTCTCCTCCACCCTCAGCTGAAGGACTCAGTATCCAGACCCCTTGCATCTCTCAGTATGTCCTGCCCCTGCATCCTATTCCCACTGGAGGTTCAAAACAAGGAAAAATAACTCCCAATCCCTAGCAGTGTTTTAGAACCCTGAAAAAAGAATGAATCTAAGATAGTTGCTATGTACATGGGAGAAATGACTCAGGACCCCTCCCCCCCATACCTCCCCACAGGGTGAGGCTCTGTCTTACCTGCCAGCATCCCCACAATTGACCCAATGGCTGCATGCAAGCAGATGAGTGGTGAGCATATGAACAGAGCTACCAGGATCAGGCCACCAGTCCAGGGATTGTCACAGCCATACACTTGGCCCACCCCGGCAGGGATGGCTTGTAACAGCTGCAAAGTCAACAGAATCCAAGTTATTGGAGTGTAGGCTGATAATGCAAAGATCAGCCTTGGGGCCACAACTGAGCCATTGCTGGAGACACTATTGAAATGGAATGGGAAGATGACACTGCTCTCCAGTATGGGAGAAGATGGGGAGGGCATAAGCAGGAACCCATAGTTTCTCATCTCACCACTTACCTTGCATCTAGCATCCCTCATGCAGTCAGTGAGGGGCAAACATGGGGACTGGGCACAGGTGCTTCTGACGAGCATGCGGTTTTACGTCTGAGAGGAAAAGGCTTGAAGGGCCCAGAATGCTTCTTCCTACACTGCTGTTGGGGGTTTTAGAGCACTAGAAGATTTCCTTTAAATTTATAGAAATCTTAGAAATATTCAAGGTCATCGTGATGGATGATTTTACCAAATGCAAATAGGATAAATTTTCTGAACTCGACCCCTCAGGTCTAAGGTCTTCACTACTCTCAGTGTCTCTCAGTCTGCACCACTGACACATCCTCATTGAGGGTGCTGTGTTTTCCTAACCTCAGTGTCACCCAGGGGGTTGTGGGCTTCTGGGAAGAAGGAAGCATCTTCCCTGCTTTTGAAGGGCACTGTGTGGAACATGTGGAAGATGGCCTGAAGCCAAAATGTCACTGAGCCTCAGAGTGACTTGGTGGTGCTGGAATTGGGGTGATGTCAGATGGTCTTTCTCATCCGGGCTGAATTGTCCATATTTTGAAGATCTTTAAGAGCAAAGAGCAAGAAAAGTAGACTACTGAGAGCCCTGGGTTGTGCATTCAGGGGTTCCAGTGTTAAGGGAAGTTCTGCACAACTTCATAGTGTGACCATAAGCACGCCATTTCCTTATCCGGGCTACAGGACCTCCTCTACAACACAAGGCACCTGGTCTGGCAGGTGACCTTCCAGCTGTAAAATTTTGTAGTTTTTTTCTCCATTAGTGAGGCATATGGTTCTTTAGTAAATAGGGCTCTTTATAGCTGGACATACATTGATTAGCCGTGTGGTTCTTGAATGCTGCTGTATGTTGGAATCCTGTAGGGATCTTTAGAAAACCTACTGATGTCTGGCTTTTACAAATACAATCTAATTGATAAGTATAGGCTATCTCTCTGGGCTTAGGTAAATCTGATGTATAACAGAGTTTGGGGCCCACTGAGTTAGGTATAAATAATCAGCTATAGATATGGGGAGCTAACTACTTTTCTTCCCTTGAATGAGGCTTTGTTCTTTTTAACCACCTGATTTGCTTCTGAAATCAGTGTGATTTCTTTAGGGAACACTGTTTGACGAGTCCCAGGGTATTTACCATCTTTGCTCACCTTTGTCTCCAAGTGGGTGACCTTTTAAGAACCACACACTATTAGGACCAGAATCTATAAACTTGAGAAAGGGATGACAGATGGGACCCAGTCTTACTTAGAAGAATCCAGGGAACACTTTATTCTGCACTAGAGAACTCAACTTACTTATGGGGAACAGGCTGAAAATCCACTCAACAAGTATCTCATGATTTGTCAACATCTGAGGAATGCGGAATGCTAAGAAGAGTCCAGCTTCCACCTGTCCATCCGGGAACATGGGTTGTGAGCCCAAGCAGGCAAGAATGAGAGGAATGAGGGAACAAGTGGCCTTGGAATGGGGCCTGGCTTTAGAATGAAGCTCCTCTGCCAGAATCCATATTTTTGTCTGGTGACCTGTGCACTGGGGTGACAGGTGGCAGCTGACATGCCAGGGCGAGGGGCAGTCAGGTGTGTGATGGAAATTTACTGAGAACCTGATTCCTCTGTCCTCCTTATGATTCCCAGGATAAACATGAGCCAGCTGAACAGAAAGGAACTTCCCTCACTTGTTTTCAAGGAAGAGTAAAATGGCACTGATTTTTCAAAACTCAGACCTAGATAGTGTGCAAGGGAATTGTAAAAGTTGTTAGAATGTTGGCTGGTGGGGAGGTGAGAGAGTGAGCTTGGGGCACCCAGATCGGGATTCAACCACTTTATAACTGTTCATTTTGAAGATGAACAAGAGGCATCTTTTCTGTGGGGCCCATACCACACTGGCTCCTGGGCATTGGATTGTCCACTCTTACAATGTGGGTTGGGGTCTTGGTGAACCTTTGTCTCTGGTTAGGTCATATGTGGCTGCCACTTGGACAATGCTGGTAGAGATCAGGGACACTAGAGGTGTGCACCCAAGATCTGTTTGCCTAGTTGCTGCAGTGCTGTTCCTTAACGATTCTGTCAAAGTTTTGTCTCTGCTCCTTTTCTAGACATTTTCCACTTGAGAGAGAGGCTCTGTCTTTTCTAGTCCTTTGGGTTTAAGCCTTAACTCTGCCTCTGATCCCACTCTAGCCCAGTCTCCATCCCAAGACAAAACTTAAAAAGTCAAAAAACTTTAAAAAGCATTTGCACTGTTTGCAGTGGCATTTCCACCCAAAGTGGAGGAGCATTTCCTTTTTTGACAGGTTTGGAGTTACAACTTAGTTTCCCTGAAGGACCTCTGAGTGGGTGTCCTGGAGCTAATTGCAACAGAAGGCCATGCTGAGTCTGGCAGAAGGAACCTGTCCCATGCTCTGTAGGATGTTCAGGAGCTTCTCTGCCTTCTACTCACTAGATGCAAGTAACACTCCTTTAGTTTTAGCAATAAAAAGTATTCAAGACATGGCCTCACGTCTACAAGGAGCAATCTTTCTCTTGCTTGAAAACAATTGATATACAGGGTGTGTGAAAATTCACCTTCTGTCTTCTATTGATACATAAAGCCCTGATTTTAAACATTTATTTTAGTTACTTGCTCCTTTATCAAACTGTTCATATTAGCTAATATTTTTCTGCAACTGTCAATTTAGAGCCTAGTAGCTGTTCCCTTGCATGGTGTCTGTTTCCTATGTAAAGCTAAGTTTCATGAGGGCAGGGATACAGATGTCTTAGTCCCTGCATATTGTCAGCAATGAAAATGTGTCCAGCACATTTTAGATGGTTGGTAGCTATTTGTTGAGAGGAGGTATGGATGTAGCAGTAACCTTTCCTAGTCTCTGATGAAGCTCATTGTTTGGTAGAGAGATTTCTAGTGAAACTAAGAGCCTTAGTAATCTACAAGCTGGCTAATGAGACTCTAGGGGAATCTAGTGGAATCCAAGGGCCTCAACTCATCACCATTAATTACTTACCAAGGGCATTTCAATCTCTGTCCAAGTGATATTGGGTACCGAAGACACAGGCTTCACCAGTGTTGCAGGGAAGAAGAGGTTGTAATGGCCCGTGGCTGCCAGGTACAGGGTCAGTGTAATGTTGAAGGGCAGTGTGAAGACTGGCAGGTCCCACTTACTGAGGATGGAATTCAAGGCACTAGAAACAACTGGACTGAAGATGAAGACACAAACGATCAGTCACTTATGCTGACCTTAGGAAGACGCCACCTGTCTTATCAATGGTGACCACTGTGTCATCCACCATCCTCTTCCCTGTCATATTTATTTCTGGCTTCCCTGAGAGTCCAGTGGTCCTTAGAAATAAGGTGTTGGAAGTAAGATTTTCAACATGAGATTACAACTTTGTAAAACAAATATAACATTCTGTAGAGCATACTATATGAGATGTGATGACAAAATTTGGTGATTGTTGAAATTAAAAAAATTATTACAGTAAAAGACACACTGCCATTAATTCTCACCAATACATTCCCCATTACTTAAAATACACATAACCCATCATCCTTGTCACTTTCTGAAGCAGTTTTGGAAGTTCTTGTTCACGTCTTTGGTTGTGCTGCCATGATTGCTTTGATGTCATGAATTAATTCAAAGGGTTTATCTTTCATGGTCATTTTAACTTTGGGGAAAAGCTAGAAGTTGTAAGGTTCCTGATCCAGGGAATAAGGACACACTGTAATCATTTATTTGACAGAAATTACCGTAAACATTTTGAATCAGTTCAGGACACTGAAGCAGCTATTCATGATAAAGGACTTCTACAACTACCTCAGAAAGTGGCGAGAATGATGGGATAAATGTGTTCAAAATAAAGGGACTATTTCAAAGGGCATGAATGACAATGTGTCTTTTACTGTTATGAAATTTTAATTTAAGCATTCATTGTATCTTTTGATCACACCTTACAATTTAAATATTTCCTTGTTTCTTAAATGGAGAAAAACAATGCAAATGTGATTGTTACAAAGTGAAATTACTGCCAGCAGCTATTGTCCTGGGCTATGAGAACATTTTAGGAATAGAACCTTCTAGGAGGAGGCTTTCCTGCTGTGAAAGTCATGTATAGGCTTTGGCTCAGCAAAGACACTAAGTGTTACTCTGGGAACTGGCAGATGAAAATAGAACTTCAGTTGTTTGTACCCTTTGTCTTCCTAGTCTCTTCCTTGGAAAGAGCATGAATTTTGGATGCAGATGGAGCTGAATGCCAGTCATAACTCCTCTACTTGCCAGCTCGGTGAGTAATGTTAGGTAATTAATCTCTCTTACTCTCAGTTTCCTCTGGAAGGAATCAGCCACCCAAGATACCTAACACTTCACATATCCTGCACTCAGAGGCTGCTGGATCAAACATCAAATCACATGATCTGGCTGACTGGTCTACCTTTAATGAATGACCACAAATCTCAAGTGGGTGTTTAGAACTGCCTGAAAACATTACTGCACATCCCGAGCACATTAAGTCTCCAAGATGCTGAGAACTATTTCATATTTTCACCTTTCTCTTCAGATCTTTACCATCTGTTTCCCTTTTATTTCATCCAACAACCAGGCTTTACTTCATTAAAAAAAATAGCAGTGACAAGGTGAGAAATGTTTCATTTTCCTGACCATAAACATCTACTCCTTGTCTGCTTTGTTCCTACATGCTCTGCCTCTCTCATTTGGTGGAAGCAAACTTCTCCTTTGTGGATTAATTTTCTTTTCTCTGTTCTTTAGATCTGGTCAGTCTCGAGGACTTCAATTTTGTAATATTCTCTTTTTCTTGTTTTCAACCTCCTTTTTATCTAGTCCATTCTCATCAGTCTATAATATGCTTTAATATCTCATACTTTTAAAAATTCCACCCTTTAGCCATATGTACACTCTTGCTACTTCCCTATTTCTTTACTATTCTTTGTGCAATACTTTCAAAAGGGCTGGCAATGAACTGGATGAGGTGGTAGGAGAGTGAGGCAGGAGGACTGTAAGTTCAAGCCCAGCCTGAGCAATTTAACGACATAGCAAGAACTTAACTCAGAAAAATTGAAAAACTGAAAATGGGTGGGAGGTAGCTTAGTGTGAAGATCCGGAGTTCAGTCTTCAGTAATACACACACACACACACACACACACACACACACACACACATCAATCTTTTTATCCCAAGCTTTCTGCTACAAGTCAGTCTTAAACCTGCTCCAGCCAGGTGTGTGTTCTTATTATATCACAGGAATAGCTTTGTCCAGGTCACCAGTGAAGAACACCGATTTTGACATATCCACCCATATCCACAGTCACTCCTCGTCTTGTTAAGGTTGGGCTCTCTCACTGCATGTGGACTATTGTAACATTGGACTTTCTTGGTTTTCTTTCTGCCTGCTCCTTTTTTACTCTCCTTTGCTGAATTTTTACCTTTTCTGCCAAACATCCAAATGTTGGAAAACACTACAACTCTGTCTTGATTCTTTTCTTTGTTTTAATCTTTCCTTTTGAGTGCTATACTTCAGTTTCCTGCATAAAATACTTTCTACATGCTCCTGCCTTTCAAATCTTGACTGTATCACTAAGTTCAAGATTTGTACATCCTGCTACCTTCTCAACATCTCTACTTGGAAGTCTAACATGTAGTAATCTAAATTGAAGTCATTGCACCCCATCTCTCCCTCTGATGTAGTTTTCTTCCAGACTTCTTTGTAGCCCAGGCACTTAGATTATGAGAACGTATTGGACTTTCTTACCTTCTCCTCCTTTGTATCCTCAGCTTCCCTGAAAGTCGTATTTCTCTGTCTTTCTTAAAATATACCTCATAGCCCATCACATCTGACCATGTTCATAGACACCACTCTAGTGATCATTTTGTGGTCATTATAGCAGATTCCTAACTATGCTGCTGAGCAGTTAAATCCATTCCCATGCTTTGTAAGCAGAGGAGTTTATTTAAATTTAAACCACACCTCTGTTTAAAATCATGTAATAGCTTCCTGTTTTACCAGTTGTAGTAAAAATCCTAAAACTCGTGGGATCCAAGGGGTGTATGAGGCTGTGTTCACCTTCTGTTGCTCCGTCATCCCTCACTGGGTCTCAGCCCCACTGGTGTTGCCTCTATTTCTTGAACAGATCATACTTCCCCTGGTGGGAAAGTCTGTGACACCCTTTCTCCAGATCTTCACATGGCAGATGTCTTTTTATCAGTTAAGTGACCTCTCAAATGTCCCATTTGTAAAGTGGCCTTCTCTGACCACCCATTCCTGGAATCAATCTCGGTCCCACCTATGCCATTTTGTTTACCTGAAAGCATTTATCTTATTGTGAAATGATCTCCTTTTATTAGCTAGCTTATGGGTTTTATCTCTTTCTCTACCCAAAATGTAAGCTCCAAGAGTACAGAGTTCTTCTCCTGATTGTAGCTATTCTCAACATTTAAGATAGTCAGTGTACTCAACAAAAACCCAGGCACTTAGATCTTTAACAGATAAATCTGGAAAATGACATTGCTAATAATCACACTACCTGGATTGCATTTCAAAAACTACATGAATGGACTAATGACTATACTGGAGTGGTGTCAGAGAGCTTGTCCTATGGCAAGATGTCAATAGTTTCTGCCTTTTAAATTGGAAAATGACTTAGGGGCACTGAGTCTAACTGCCACCCAGTGCCATGAGGCGGAGGGGTGTACTGATGGTTTTAATCTAAGTAGTCTAAACCAAATGTGTGCAGAGGAAGACAAGTTCTGCTCCTCACAGGGAACACACGTTTGCATAGCATTAAAGTCACAGAAATGATGGCCTTATCTTTTTGTCCCAAGGCATGAAGAAATCTATATATTTCCAGGAGGAAATATAAAATACTCAATACTTAATGTAGTACTTTATTTGCAAGAAAAAAGTAGTGAAATAGTACTTAAGCTAAATTAGTACCTCTAGACTTTGAAACCAAAGAAAGACATTTGCTTCTTAGAGATGTTAAAAATAAATCAGCAGGATTTATTGCTGAGCACAAGAATAAATCACCCTGACTGAGCAGTGTTGAGAACAGAGTGGTCAGTACACATACAGTCAGAGGCTGGGGCAAGGGTTTGCTGTGAAGCAGGCTCTTGGGCATGCTCCTGACCGGCTGTAAAATCAAATGAACTAAGGGCAGCACTGTGAGCACCCTCATATACTCAGTGATCTCTATGAATATTTGTTCTTTCTTGAGGAAGAACTCAACTGATGCTTCCAGTTCAAAGATTCTATGCTTTCCATATCGACTTCTGTTTCAAGAAGGCCATCTGATTCTACCACAATGGAGTTTTCAGCTTTTAGGTCCTGGTTATGCCACACAATACATGATTCCCATGCAGCCTGGGGCTTAATTGTGTGGGTTCTGGATTCAGAAAGCCAGCACCAAAACCTGAGACCATCATGCGGAGCCAAGTAAAGCAGACTCAGAAAGTTAAATATTGCATGTCTTCTCTTATATGAGAAAACTAAAATATAAATAAATGACTAAAATATAGAAAAGGTGATAAAAAAGAGAAGGTAGACTCTGGAGATGGGTAAGGGGATCAAGGGAGGAGGAGGGAAAGGGCAGGTGAAGGCTTGAAAAGAAGCAAGATCTGTGACATGCATGAACCAGTTCCCCCAGGCAAACATCACTATTATGTATTGTAAACTGGTATTAATAAAAAAAGGAAAATGCAACAAAGTAACATAAAATATAATAATGCAACTCTTTCCTGGTCCATAACTTTTCCTATATCATAAGCACTAATCTCTTTCTATTTTTTTAATAATAAAAAGAAAACACAGTTTAAAAAGTTTTATATAGGATGACCTGGGACAAGTTAATCTCTGCAAACTTTGGTCTTTGCTTCTATAAACTGAGAACAAACATAACACTACCTTTTTAAGGACTGTGCTTGGCATGCAGGAATTACTTAATATATTGTAGCCTTTATTATTAAATCTATCACCTAAAGGGGATTGTCCACCTAACAAAACTTGTAGTCTTTTGCTGCTTTAAAAGACCCCTGCTATTCCACATCCTGGCATGATCCCCTTGCATTGCTCCTGACTTCATGGGTTTTCATGGTGTTTTGCAAACCAGCCCCTCTGTGCAAACACTGGATCCCAAGGCACAAACATCTGGGCCCCCGCGAATCTGTGAGCAGAAGAAGGAGATGCCTCACCAGGCCATGGTTGTGAAGACCACAGGAAACAGAAGCCACCAGTAGTAGTCTGACTTGTCAGAGGACAAGGCCACCAGCAGTCCCACCAGCGTGCCGTTGTAGCCGTGGAGTCCCGAGGTGATGGCTGACCTGGAAAGGAGATGAGTGCTTTGCACTGGAATTTGGTAGTATCTGTTGGGCCCTTCCTCGGGATGAACTTAGATGATTCCTTTACAAATTCTACAAAGAAGTGCACTGCCTGAGTATTCAGCAGTCACATAGCTACACACGCACACAAACACACACTTGATTATTCTTGCTGCTGTAGAAGTAAATTATGCACTCTTATTTGTGGCTAAGCTCTTTGCTTTTGTTTTTCAGGGGCATTTCAGACTGTGAAGTATAGAGAAACCTCATAGAAGTCTTGATGTGTGACACTGTGTGTGTGTGTGTGTGTGTGTGTGTGTGTGTGTGTGTGTGCATGTATAGGTGTGTGAAAGGCAAGGAAGGAGGGAGGAAGCTAGGGAGGGAGAGGGAATGTTTTCATACTGCACTGTGTGCAGTTGCCCATGCTGAAGTTGGGTTGCTTTCTCTCTCTCTGTGTTCATGCCCACGTAGGCCAGCTGAATGCACTTAGGATGCCCATGTGCCTATCCCATGTGTCCCACTCAGGAGTGTGTAGAATTGGATGTTTAAGAGGAGAAACCTAAATCCTCTAAACCTGTCTCTCTGACCCTTCTCAACACTACCTTGACCTTTCCAGTAGCTCTGCAGGGAGAGGAGAGAGAGGAGGGGCCAGGAAGGGCTCTGCACAAATCTACTGCAAGGTCCCTCCCCGAGAGTGAGCTTCCTGTGCTCAAGTTCTGTGCTCCTGTACTGGCCTGTGCACTTGGATGGGGGAGTGGAGCCCATCTGTGTTCACTGCTGTACCCTGGGCCCCATCATTAGCTATGTCCCCGTGGAACAAGGCATGATAGTATTTTTTAAGTTTTTGGAGTGAAACCCACTGTATGGAATACATTTTATATTATGATTTCATTCTCTCCCAGCCCACCTCAAAATAAATCAGATACAATTTCACAAAATCATGTTTAGCTTTACTGCACATGAATTGGTTGAGCTGGCTTTGATTTATTCTATTGTTTTGATATTCTAAAATGCTATTGACGTTTGATTTGTGATCTGCAAACCTCCTCACTGAAGTAAGATATGGGGTAATCTAGTTTCTGTTTCTCAAACTTGAGCATAAGAAGCTTCTGAGAGAACTCTGTCAAAAATACTTCTCCTAGATTCACAGAATGGCAATGTCTTAGTTACTTTTCTCTCTTTGTTGAGACAAAATAGCTGACACTCAAAATGAAGGAAGAAAAGATTATTTAGCTCACAGTCTGTGGAGGTTTCAGTCCATAATCAACTGGCTCTAAGGAAGGGTGCTGAGGCACAGGGTCCACACTTCACGGCAGAAGATAGCCAACGCAGCAAGTGCAAGCCTGTTTTCCTCCCTTCTATTGTAAGCAGGCTACTACAGTCCTAGGCAACTGCAGCACTCACACCATCTCCCCACCCTTCTCTTGCACAGACTCAGGAACTTTACAAAGTGAGAATCCTGGCCCTCTGCGGAGTCCCTTAGTTAACTTCTAAACATCTCAAAATGGCACAATGTGTCATCCACTAAATGGAATATCTACAGGGGGTAGGGTGAGCAGGGTGCTGAACTGTGTCTTATCCCCTTTTAATTTTGCAGTATTGGGGACTGAACCCAGGTCTTTTAAACTGATCTATATCCCTTTTATTTTGATTTTTATGTTTGAGACAATACCTTCCAAAGTCACTAAGTTATCCAGGCTGGATTCTAACTTGTGACCCTCCTGCCTCAGATCCCAGAATCTTGGAATTATGAGTATATGCCATCATGCCCAGCTTTAAATTGTATTTCTTAATAATCATCTCAAAGGACTCTATCAGGAAAATCTGGGACTGCTGGCATAATATATAGCAAAGCCTGAAGACATAGTGGAAGTCTACAAAATGCTAGTTGTTACTATACTTTGCATTGACCAAAGCCTTGGGCCCAGCAGAGCTGGTCCCTCCCCTTGCAACTTTGTTGCTTTCTGATGATCCTGTGTGTCCCCTTCTTCAATGTCCCCTTCCACATCGTCTTCCCCTTTCTTCTCACCTTCTCCCATTCCTGGTACCCACCATGCCTAATTCCAGGCTATTGTAGAGAGCCTTCCCAATGCTCAGGCATGTTTGTTGTATTATTCTGACATTAATCGCCCATTAACTTTATCTCCTAAAACTGTTGTAGGCTCCACGAGGGAAGAGCAGTTTAAGCATTTCTCTGTACCTCCCTTGCAAGAGTCTTCCCCAAAGTCTCCAGAATCAAGCAGAGACTGATGTCAGCAGCTCATGTGGGTTGGAGCAGTTTATTTCTGTTGGGACCATCAGGGACCTGCTCAAAGTTGACACTCAGCAGACTGGCTGGCTGGGAGGCTAAGGCTGGCTGACCCGTCAAGTAAATGCTTCACCTATCTGTTTCCTGTGTCTTGCCAAGAGGTCTGCAGAGAGGAACTCACCTGTCCTGGCTTAAAGCAAGAGCAGTTAAGGTTGAGACCACTGTCCCCAAAATTCCAGTAATTGTCCACCAGGGATTCTGGATCAGGAGCCCTATGATGATGATGAAGCCACTGAGAGGGTTGTTGACGAACATCACCTGAGCTGTGCCTCTGAGGACCCAGTCTACGAACTGCAGAGCCAGGGGCTTATCTGCAAGAGACAGATGGAGCTATGAACAGGGTCCTGCCTGCTGCCCTGCTGGACTGCTACCTAGCATTGCTAGCAAGGAGGGGAAGGCACATGCTAGGACATTGTTTTTCATCTAGTCTGGGCAGGGTGGAGGGTGGCACCTAGCTCAGGTCTCTGAGTGGCTCAGCAATCAGTCTGTGGTGGGTGGTACTTTTTGCTATACAACTCAGGAACCATGCTGAGTCCAATTTAACTCAGTTCCAGTCATTGGCTCAGTTGGTAAGGCAGCCCCAGGAGCATTCCAGGGGAAATTTATTGGTTTAAGGCAAAGAGCAGGGAGGGAAGGAAACTCTTTTTGTGTAGTGCTGTACAACTCAGTTGAGGGCTAGGGTCTGAGCAGCAAAGAAAGTAGCCTGAAGAAAGGAAACCGGAAAATAAATCGTTTTAGGCCAGCTGTGAAAATCATTATTGAATCAGGGCCCAGAGGAAGCCAGGTGTTGAAGAAGGGACATACATTCTGCCTCCTCTTCTAGTTTGGTTTCCAGGACAACTTGTGCTGGTGGGGGTGAGTTGGGGCAGGGAGGGGTGGTGTTAGTTTCATTCAGGAGAAAGTTGAAAAGAAAGAACTCTGAAACTTTGGGGAGGGCAATGCCAATACTGTTTTGGCATATAATCAATGGCTGTGGAACAAATTAAGGAATGATCATTCTGCATGTCTGGGAAATGGCTTTTATGCTGCTCGTGTGGTTGTCCTATATCTGTTCCACATAGGAATGAGCATTTTGCCAAGGACTAAGATCAGTGAAATTCATTTAATTCTACAAGTGTGGGAATTCCAGGTTAGTGGGGGATATTATGCCTGCCTGGAGTCAACTTTGGATTGGCCCTGCAGCCCTCCCCACCCCCATCTGCAGAACGTTTATCAAGGGCCAGTGGGGGAGTAGTGGAGGGGGTTGTCTTTTGCCTGGCCCATGCTTCTTTTCGGGACATTTGCTTACCTTTCAGCCAGTTCCTGCACTCTTTCATCTCCCCTGTGAGGTAGCCCACTGCTTGGAAGAGGCTGAAGCCTCTTCGGGATGCAGAGCCTCGGTGGGGCAGCTCACTTTCTCTCTTTTTATTCCTTTCATTGGGCTTTTCAATTTTCACAATGTGGCTGTCTTCATCAGACGATCGGAGACCCTTCCAAGAGAAGTCATGAGAAGATATGAAATAATACCTCTTTTTGAGAATGGGAGCATTTGGGGATAGAGGAGGTTGCCGGGTCTTTTGATAGAGATGAAAAGTCATAGCACAAAGGGGGAGATATATGTGCATAATCTAAAGATGTCCAGAGTACCATGTGTAAGCCTGTCTTCCCAGGATTACCTTGTATTCTTCTTAGTAGGACTTCTTTTTAAAAAACATTTTAAAAATTTTATTTTAAAGAGAAAAAAACACAGAAAAGAAAAATAAAAAGCAAGTTATGTACAAATAATAGCTACAAGAACAACAAAACACCCAAAACAATAACAATATAGGTTTTCAAAACAAGATGATATGAATTTAACAATGGTTGTAATACTGCATATTACTGTCTTCAAAAGAGTTGCTTAGATTACCAGATATAGACATGCAAAATTGATCTAATTGTATGAGTATTAAATGTTCTTTTCCAAGAACTAATAGAATTAGTAGTGTAATTATTTTAGCTATCTTATGCATAGATAAACAAATGCAGATCATTTTCCTTTTCCCTTCCTTCTTTTCTCTTTTCCCTTATCTCAATTATTTTTCCCTTTTGGGTAGTTGCTTACCCTTTCATGATATCTCTGGTAGATTTTGGATCTTATTTACTCTTTCACTTTCTTATAATAGGGAGGCAATATGGTATTTACACATGTGGGTCTGATTTATTTCACTTAGGAGTATGGTCTCAAGTCTCATCCATTTACTTATAAAAGCCTTGATTGTGATCCTTCTTTATAGCTGAGTATAGCTCCATTGTATAAAAGTGCCACATCTTTTTATCCATTCCTCGGTTGATAGACATTTGGGTTGTTTCCAAGAAATAGCTATTATAAATTGTGCTGATACAAACATGGTGCACATCACTGTGATATGATGTTTTCAGTTCTTCTGGAGAAATGCCCAGAAGTGAGATGGCTGTATCAAATGGAACCCCTAATCCTAGTTTTTTGAGGAACCACCACACTGATTTCCACTGTGGCTGAACCAGCCTACACACAAGCCAACAGTGGAGAAGGGTTTCTTTTTCCCCACAACCCTATCAGCATTTGTTATTGGTTGATTTCTTGATTCTGGCCATTCTTTCTGGAGTAAGATGGAATCTCAGTATGGTTTTAATTTGTATTTATCTAATAATTAATGATGCTGAACATTATTTCATATGTTTGTTTTGTTTACCATTTGTATTTCTTCATCTGAGAAGTGTGTATTCATCTCAGATGCCCATTTTTGGGTTGGGTCTTTGAATTTTGGTGGCCTGATGATTTTTTACTTGTTTATATGTTCTAGATAGAAATCCTCTGAGGGAAGAGTTGGTTAAGACTTTTTCCCATTTGTGGGTTTTTTAACTACGTTGGAGATTTCTTTTGATGTGCAAGAACTTTTTAATAAGAATCCCAGTTGTTGATTTTGGGAATATTTCCCATGCAGTTTGATTTTTGATCCTCAAAAAACTAAGATTATTCATTCACTCTCTACCTATCCCTATATCTTCAAGATTTTTACCTATTTTGTTTTCCTAAAGATTTAATGTTTCTGTTTTAATATTTAGATATTTGAATAATTTTAACTTTAGTTTATTGTATGGCAATAGACATGGATCTGGTTTTAGTTTTCAGCATATGGAAAGCCAGTTTTTCCAGCACCAGTTACTAAAAAGGCTGTTTTTTTTCTGGTGAATTTGTTTGGCTCCTTTGTCGAAGATAGGGTAGGTGAGTGTGTTTGTAGTTGTGGCTGTATCTTCTCATCTATCCCATTGATCTTCAGGTCTGCTTTTTTTTTTTGCCAGTACTATTTTGATTTTATTACAGTAGCTTTGAAGTATAATTTCAAGTCAGTTATTGTGATGCCTCTTGCCTTGTCTTTGTTGCCCAGAATTGCCTTAGATATTCTAGGTCTTTTCTGGTCCCAGATTAATTTTAGGAATGATTTCTTTAGATCTGTGAAATATGCTAGTATGCTACAGTATTTTGATCAGAATTGCATTACATCTGTATAACGAGATTGGGAAAATGAACATTTTCATAATGTTGTTCTTCCTATCCATAAACAAAGAATGTCTTTCCATTTTCTGAAATCCTCTTCGATTTATTTTTTCACAGTAATGTAATTTTCAATGTATAGATCTTTTACTTCCTTTGTTAGATTGATTCCTAAGTATTTCATTTTTGGGGTTGTTATTGTGAAGGGTATGGTTTCCCTTATTTCTCTCTCAGTGAGTTTGTTGTTTGTGCACAGAAATGCTGTTGATTTTTGAGTGTTGACTTTGTATCCAGTTACATTACTGAATATGGTTATTAGATCTAGAAGTGTTTCAATGGGTCTTTGGGGGGTCTTCTATGTAGAGTATCATGTCATCTGCAAATAATGATAATTTAACTTCTTCCTTTCCTATCCTTATTTTATTTCTCTCTCTTGTCTAATTGTTCTGGGCAATGTTTCCAGAACTATATTGAATAGGAGCAGTAATAATATATATCCTTGTTTTGTTTCTGATTTTAGGTTTAAAGCTTTGTTTTTGTCCATTTAGTAAGATTTTGGCTGTTGGTTTCTTGTGTTTGGCTTTCATCAGATTGAGGTAAAGACCATCTTTTCTGATTTTCTGTAGCATTTTTTTTTATAAAAAATGAGTGTTGGAATTTATCAAAAATTTTTTGCATCTATTGAAATGATTCATGTGGTCCTTGTCCGTGGCTCTGTTGATATGATGTATTACATTTATTGATATTTATTATATTGAGCCATCCGTGCATTACTGGGATGAAGCCCACTTGGTCATGGTGTATAAACTTCTTGATGATTTGTTGCATTCTGTTTCCCAGTATTTTACTGAGGATTTTTATAACATGTTCATTAGGGAGACAGGCCTGTGGTTCTCTTTTTTGGTTGGGTCTTTCCCTGGGTTTGGTATTAGGGTAACACTTGCTTCCAGGAATGAGTTAGGGAGAATTGCTTCCCTTTCAATTTCATTGAAAAGTTTGAGGAGTGTTGGCATTAAGACTTCTGTAAATTTCCTGTAGCATTCTGCAGTGAATATATCAGGACCTGGGCTTTTCTTTGTTGATAAGGTTCTAATTATACTTTCAATTTCATTACCTGAAATTGGGGTATTCAGAAGTTTTACATCTTCTTGATCCAGCTTTGGTAATTCATGTTTCTAGGAATCTGTTCATTTCTTCTGTGTTATTGAACAAAGACAGTAGAGGTTTCAAAGTAGTATTGATGATCTGTATTTCCACAAGGTCTATAGTGCTTCCACTATTTTCATTCCTTATTGCATGAACTTGAGTTTTTTCTTTTCTTTTTTTGATAATGTTGGCTAGGGGCTTATCAATTTTATTTATTCTTTCAAAGAGCCAACTCTTTTATTTGTTAATTCTTTGCATTATTTTCTTAGTCTCAATTGCATTAATTTCTGCTCTGCATTAATTTCTCCCCTTTTTTGGCTTTGGGCTTGAATTGCTCTTCTTTTTCTAGATGTTTAAGGTGTAGCATCAGGTTGTTTGTTTGTGTTTTCTCTGTGTTCCTGATGTGAGAATTCACTACAATAAATTTCCCTCTGAGGATTACTTTCCTCATGTCCCACAGGTTCTGGTAAGTTGTATTTGCATTTTTGTTTGCTTGTAAATATTGTTTAATTTCTTCTTTAATTTCCTCTGTGGCCCATTGATTGTTCAGGATGGTATTACTTAATTTCCATGTGTTTTTTGCAGTTTCTTGTGTCATTAATTTCCAATTTCATGGCACTAGAATCAGATAATATGCATAGGATAATTTTGATTCTTTTGCATTTACTTAAGTACATTCTATGGGCTAGTGTATAGTCTATTTTGGAGAATGTCCCATGTGCAGCTGAGAAGAATGCATATTCTGATGTTGGGTGGAAGACTCTGTATACATCTACTAAGTCCATTTGTTCACAAGTTTGATTCAGTTCTATTATTTCTTTGCTGATTTTTTGTCTAGTTGATCTGTGTCTTTGTGACAATGGAGTGTTAAGGTCCCCCATTATGAGTATATTATTGATTATTTTATTTTTCATGTCTATTAATATTTGTGCTACATAGCTGGGTGTTCCCATATTTGGTACACATATATTTATGATTGTTATCTCTTCCTCTTGAAGTTTTCTCCAACCAGTATGCCATGACCTTTTTTATCTCTTTGAATCATTCATGGTTTGAAGTTCACATTGGCTGTGAACAGAATCACTACCCCTGCTTTATTCTTGGTTCCTGTTTTTCATACTTTCACTTTCAGTCTAAGAATTTCATTTTGAGTTAAATGTGTTTCTTGTAGACAGCATATTGTTGGATTTTGTTTCCTAATCCACTATGCCATTCTGTTTCTTTTGATTGATGAATTTAGGCCATTTGCATTAATGGTTATAATTGATATGTATTGGTTTATCTTTGTCATGTTATCCTTCTGTTGTTCCCTACTTTTACCCCTCTGTTTGTTAGCCTGTTGATTGGTTGCTTGTTCTTTCTGTTGTTGTTCTTGAAGTTGTGGTCATTTCTATCTCTTTCTAGACTATCTTTCAGTAGGGTTGGTGTGTTGTCATGAAGTTCTTCAGTTGTTCTTTGCTATGGAAGTATATTATACCTCCATTGATTTTGAAAGATAGTTTTGTAGGGTACAACAATCTGTGTTAGAAGTTATTTTCTTTCAGTAATTGAAATACTTCAGTCCATGCTCTTCTTCTTTTTTTTTTTTTTTTTTTTTTTTGGTCTTTTTCCTTTTTATTGGTACTGGGGATCGAACTCATGACTGCCTGCTTGCAAGGCAGGCGCTTATGCCACTGAGCTAAGTCTCCAGCCCCAGTTGATGCTTTTCTTGACTCAATGGTTTGTGTTGAAAAGTCTTACATGATACTCTTAGGTTTTTCTTTATAGGTGATCTATTCTCTCTAGTGGCTTTTAATATCTGTCCTTATGTTGAGTTTCTGGGATCTT